AATAGGAAAAGGTGCCTAAAAGGAAATTTAGTAGTTTTGCTTTAATTGCTGTTAAATAAATTCCCGTTTTTTCAGAAATGGGACTTTTTTTTTTTTTTTTTTTGCCTTGTATACTTTAATTAATGATTAATCGATTACTAAATCAGTAAAAACACGATTAATCACGATTAATCGTTTCCACCTTAACCATATCTAAAATCCTCTGAGCTTTTTTAACTAAAGAAACTTTCTCTCTGTTGGACGGTGATGTGTTCAAACCAAACATATTAATTCTTTATAAACTTTTTTTCCACATTTTCTTAGTTTGAAGCTACAACTACAAACTTTGGTGTCTTTTTTGGGGGGAGATTTCACTCGATAAACCTACGGACTGTAACAAAGAGGCTCACAAAAGGGAAGCTGATCTCAACTGATGGGCAAGATGGACGGAGGCTGTAAAAGGTTCACCTAAACATCCAGCCAGATACGGCTACAATATAATGATCTGGATCAAAGTGTATTCATGGTTAAGATTTTCTTTCTTGAAGGGGGAAAAAAAAAAAGGCAATCGTTCAGCCCTTTTCCTCCTACCTCACAATTATATGGTACCTTCTGTCGAGTCTGTCACATAAAATCCAAATAAACGACATTAAAGTTTGCGGTTGCAGCATAAGTACGACTGCTTTTGCAGGGCAATGTAGCATTCAGTGGTGTAATGGGTTATTGTAATGACACCTTTATTACTGGAGGATATGTAATTTAGGGTAACTGGCCATGTGTTCAGTCATGCAGATGCTGCTGTCTAACAGATACGTAAACACCAGCAACACACGCACAGAAGCTCTTAGCGTTTCGTCTCTTCCTCATGTAAAAACCTTTTCATTTTTGCTCAGTTTTAATCTTTCTTGACTGTCTGTTTGTTTTTTCTCCTGTAGAGAAATACTTTGACATGAAGAAGAACCAGTGTAAAGACGCTCTGGACATCTACAAGAAATTTCTTTACAGGATGACAAAGCTGTCGGAGTTCCTCAAAGTGGCTGAGGTACACGAGCACACAGACGAACCCGCAGAGAGGGACGCACAGATTCTCTTTATCCACTTCCGATACAGATTTAGCGTCAGCTGATATCGATCCGATTCAGAAAGAAGCAATGCTGATATGACTTAAAAAGTTTCTTTTTTAAAAAAAAAAAACGTGCTAAATTAGACATTTATTTGCCAACTCTGCAGACTTGAATGCACCGATAGCTTCAGAGACTTGATCAAACATGTAAGAACAACTTTCATTTGGCTCAGTTAGTGCAGAATAACAACCAGTGTGAAATAAATAACAAACTTAAAACTGACTAAAACAATACGTTACGATACGAGTGAAAATAATGACTTTCTTGGTCAAACATGTAAAAACTCACAAACCTTTTTTGAATGGTTCAGAAAGTGAACCGTTTGAATGCTAAATATAGTGTAAAATAAACAATAAAGCATAAAATTAGGCTGAATAAATCTCTTCTGGATCAGGCACATTGTCACCAATACTCGATCTGGAATTTAAACAGGTTTGCTTTTCAGGGTTTTTTGGTTTGTTTCTTTAGATTCTTAATTCTAAATCACTGTCTGTAAATCTCCTAGCTGTATGTAGATTGTTATAATCCAGCTCTCCTAACCCAGATGTTCTCAAACATTACTTTAATGTGTTCATTTTTCACACGGCGGCTGCAGTTCTGCTCACTCAGCGTTGCTGAACCAAGCCATCCCCGACTTGCCCCTCTGCCCCCACATTTAATACACACACATACACGCACACACACATAAATATATATATATATAGACCAAAAATAACCATAAGATGGAGGACGTGGTTAGGCGCTCCGTTAGCTCCCTCCGCCTAATCCTCTCCTCTGCCTCGCTCCTCTTTTCTCCCTCTGACAAAGATGGATACCCGAGTGGGTCTCCTTTCCCCGGCGCCCACAGATCATCCCTCTTTCCCTCTTTCCTTCTCTCCCTCTCTCTCCACTGTGCCCCGTTCCGTCTCCGTAGTTTAAACAGGAAGCCGACGTGCATTTCAGACACGGAATGGGGAAACGTTCCCATTTAAACGTCTTTGTCTTTTTATGATTGCGTTTTAAGGACTTCACCAGACGGCTACAGACATTAAAAAAAAAAAATATATATATATATATATGTAGGAAAGGGAATAAATGATGAGTTGCTTCGTTTTTAGATTTAACGTCTCTAGTGTGAAGGAGCAAATTTTAATCTACAATACGTTTTTTTCCCCTCAATAAATGTGTTTTCATCTGATGCAGTGACTTAGAAGACCTAAAGCATCAGCTGGTGGTACAGTGAACATTTTGTGTAGATTTTATATACGCAAATTGACAGCATGATGGGAAATGAAGTAGCTACAGATGGATAAGAAACCCATTTCCATGGAGGCGTTATGATGCTGAAGAGTTACAATTCTCACAACACAACAGACTGTCTTAAAATGACATGTCGACCGATAGGTGTTCTCCTAAACTGGATATTTATGGAGAAGGAAAATATTTTGTGTTTAGTGCATTGCAATACCTGAATAGTAAGGAAAAACACATTTCTGCTCAACATGTGGCTATTCCCTAAGAGCCAAAGAGGCTATCTGCTGGACAAAGAGGGTAGAGAAAAAGAAATGTGAAAGTCAAAGTAATGGATTGTGGGGAGGGATTAGTTACAGTTCATTTAATGCGTCTGTGGAGTCGTATCACTGTGGGTCACCCGAGTTCATCAAGCAGAGTTCTAGCAGGACACACGAAGCAGACAGCTGTGCGCCATCAAGCTCCCGACACTCAAAAACATCCATAACTCTCGTGGCTAAAATGAGCTCAGCTCCACGTCCCTGTTGGTCGTTCCAAAAACATCTGCAGAGTTTGGTCTCCTCGGCTCTGTGCGCACAGAAAGGAAAAGGCTAGCTTTACACGTTCTCAACAAAATATTTGCTGAATTAGCATCATGATATTCCAAAAAGACACTTATTTTATAAATACCAGAACCTATAGCATATTTATCTTAGATTTACCACTTCAGTTTAGTGTTAAAGGGGCAGTATTATGTATTTTCCAAACTGTGTCAACCTCATTTATAAAAATGCAAATATGATTTAAATGAAAATTGACTTTGTAATTGAACACCTCCTAATCTTTCTGAAGCTCCGCCTTTAACAACGTTTTTACCAGTGTTGCTCTGAGAAGTAGCTCGTATAATGAGCTCAGCTGATGTTTGCTAATTGCTGTTGGCTAGTCTAAAGGAGCTGAGTGGAGGCATAAAGGGGGAGGGCTTTTCTGTAATGCAGAAGCTCGGAAACTGCAGCCGGGAGGAGGAGTTTTGTCTCGAAGGCGGAGCTAGGTCCATCCAGGCGTTTTGCGCAGCTGAATTGTTGCCATGGAGATTAAAAGATTTCTCAAACATGCCTGAAAGAATCAAAGCAGCACTCTAAGTATGTTTATGATGAAGGAATAACACTATAACATGATGTAGCGCTAAAAAGAAAATTGATTTTACATAACACTGCCCCTTTAATCAAAGTGTTTGCTGAATAATCTCATATGAAAGCCAACTGGCTGGTTGCGAGAAGGACATGACGTTGTTTATCTGTGTCCCAACAAGTCGACGTGTTGCGTCCCGTAGAGGTGAATTTCTGGATTTCAGTGTCACTTTAAGTGTTTCCACAGCATGCCTGCTCCGCCTTCAAGAGTCGGACATGTTTTCTCATCGTTCAGTCACTGCTGCCATTTCCTGTCGATGTCACACGCGTTTGCTTGTTTGTTTCTGTTGTGTGTTTTTTTTTTTTTTTTTTTTTACACATTTCCCCTGCATGGGGGAATGATTCCCCTATGTTTTTTTTTTGTTTTCTTCTCCATTTTATCCCCCACCTATACTTCCCTCCCTACTTTTTCTTTTCTTTTTGTTTTGACGACAGCAAGTTGGAATAGATCAGGGTGACATCCCAGATCTCTCACAGGTCAGTGTACATGCCACCTTCCACCTCTCTATTCAACTCCAGCTCCTGTTTTCTGTCTTTCCCTTCCTTTTTGTTTTCATATTTTCAGCAATATGTGTAGCTTCCTTTGTTCCCACTAACTCACCTTTTCTTATTAATCTGTATTCCCTCTCAATCAACTCTTTTGTTCACCTTCCAGCCCATGTTTTTTTTTTTTTTTAACCAGCCATCATGTTTGAAGGCTTCTCTTTTGGATCTGCCTGAATATCCTTTCCTGCTTTCTCTCTCCTCCTAATTTCTTATTATAGATCCAGGTTGAGGTGTGTTAGTTTGGCCCCATGCCATGAGCAGAATTGATGAAAAGACTTGTTTGGGTTTTTTTTTTTTTTTAAGAAAAAAAAAAACCTGAGGCAAATGAACACAGTGAGTCTAGCCTTGAAATTAGGAAAACAAAGATAATGAACAGAAGAAAAGGTTTTGTAAAAAAAAAAAAGCATCTCTGCCTGGATAAGGAATGCGATTTGTTATTTTAATCCTGAAAATATTTTAATTTGCTTTTTATCCAGCTGTGAAAGTGTTTATCAAAACTCCTTGAAGCAGGGTTTATTTTTTATTCCCTTTATGTTGTATTTGTTTACCTCACTTTGATTATTTATTTTCTTGGTCAGATTCTCAGGTTATGATAAATATTTGGTGCTAAAATGTGTTCTAATCATCTTTATTTAAAAAGTCCTTGGCTTTGTGTGCTAGTTACATAAAAGAGCTGCAACCAGAGATTGATTTGTGTTGTTCATTGATCGTTGGTTGATTTAAATCATTCATGTAAAACTTTGCTCTAAGGACCTCATTAATTTCCTTTGTTGTCAGCCAGCAATTTAAAAATCATACATTTAGTTTTATAACGATGTCTGAAAACAAAAGCTTCCTATTTTTAAAGTTGTTGTAACTACAGGAAGTTTGACCTTCACATGCACATCCTAGTATTGGGAATGTTCTGGGTCAATAATACTCCCAGTGAAAGGGGGGCGCCAAACACACGGCGAGTAAAGAAAACACATCTGATCATTGGTAGAATAATATAAAAGTTGTTTTTACAGTGACAAGAGCTTTTTATTTTCCCATTGTGTTGGTAATTTTTGTTCTAAAAAGAAAAGACTAAATGAATATCAGTTGAGTTTATATTATTAACATTACTAGCAGCTAGCATGTCTAGCACTTCTAAAACATCAATACTGTTCCACCTTCCTGCAATCTGCTGAAATTCTCCTACTAGAGGTGAGCGGATTGATCCAAAGATATTGATATCGATAAGTCGGCTTTAGTATCGAATCAATATTAGGGTGATGAGAGCAAACCCTTAGTTTCAGATTTCCTGTTATTTTATTTTTGTAATGCACTTTCTTAACTCTGCTAAAAAAGATTTTTGCTGTGATTTGCTCTCAAATTATAAGGTTTTGCACTTTTGTTTTAGAAAATAATGCACACACTTGTTTGTTTTTTTCTATTTTTGCTTGTAAATTCTGTCCTAAACAAAATAATCCAAAAGAAAAACTATTTAAAAGTCCTTAAATTCCTTTTAAAAAAACTATGTTGGCCTTGAATATGTTAATCTCTGATCTTAAATTTTGTTGTGCCAGCATTATTAGATATAGTTCATTTAATAGTTCATATATTTTGTTTTTCTCATGTGACTTTTGCAATAGGCAAAAGTTTGTGTCACACTCAGATGTCTTCACTGCGTTCTCTGGTCGAGGCTACAGCTAACTAGCTGCTAACATACCCTGTTAGCTAGGTAGCTTTTTTGCATCTGTCATGGACAGGCAGAAATTTTTCGCCAATGACATCCATTCATTTCTGGGGAGACATATAGGTCTTAAATTCCATTTATAATGGTCTTTAAAAGTCTTAAATATGAGTTGGTAAAACCTCCTACTTAACTTTATATTCTTAGAGTCAGAAGCCAGCTCAGTTTATTGGTAAAAATATGTTGAATATGAGAGGCTGAGTTTATACTAACTTTATTGAAAGGGGAAGAAGTTTAAAAAATCTATAATTTTTCTGACTACTTTGTGTATTGCCATCATTATCGCAACAGTTTATTCATTCGTAGCCTTTTGATTCTTTTATTTTTCTGTACAAGATCAGAAATCTCTCGGTACATTGTAGATCTCAGTGAAACGTGTCCTTGATCACACATTTTAAAAAACAAACAAAAAGACTGGTTAATGTGTACAGAGGAGAGCCGGTTTGTCTGAGGTCAGAGTTGAATAATCCTGTATTTGCAGTCAATAACGAGTGTTTTTCCTCCCCTCCCACTCTGTTGCAGAAGACTAAAGGATCATACATTGTAGGTGGTGGGTTGCAAACTGTACCGCTTCCCCACTCCAACCTCCATAAAGGAAAATTCCGCCTTTAACCTAGGCCCTATTTTTTCCAATCTTAGTTTTTAACAGGGTCTAAAATCAGCATTGTGCAAGAATCCTGTGGCCAGTTTGTCTTTACCATCATTCTGCAGGCTGGTGGGCAAAGTCCTTGCCTTTTGCCTCTTATTGATTTTGGGATTTTTACATAACTTAAGGTAAACATTAAGAAGCAGCTTTGCTAATTTGTGTTTTGCAGTTTGGCTGATTTGTTTCCAGATTTAAAACTTTTAAAGCCCGTCAGTTCTGGTTGTGTTGTAGCAGCGATGATGATGAAACCACATAGAATGGTTTGTGTTGTTCCTCTTGTAAAATGAATTGTTTTTATGGAGGGTTATTTAACTCTAGGGAAGCTTAAAAGGCCAGTTTTTCCAGTTTGGGTTTCTACTTTATTTTTGGGATGTTTTAGTGGTTGTTCCCCAACAGCTGTTAATCTGTAATGAGAAGGGTTTTTCTGAGAGCACTAACCAGTTCAGGATCCCCTTCAGTTCTGCTTCCTGTGTTTTCTCTGCTCAGTTTGTAAAGGGTTCCTACTCAGCCTGGAAAGGCCTGGAGTTTGATTTAAGCCTGGAGAGGTATGGAAATGTCAACTGGAGTAAAGCAAATACGAGAGTTTACTGAGACAGTTTACCCACATTGTTCAAAACATCCATCTCTGTTCCTTCCATCTATCCATATGTCATCAATCATCCATATTTCATCCATCCATCCATCTGTCCATCGTTATTAATCCATCCATCTCTAATTTATCCATCAATACTTTCTCCGCCTATATTTTGTCCATCCAGCTGCATGTCATGCATTCTTAGTATTTCATCCAGCCATTCACTTTCATCCATCCTTCTGTACTTCATCCATTTAACCATTCCATCCATCCATCCATCATATTTTTATCTCCTACATCTTTCTTCCTTTCCATATTTAATCCAGCCATCCTTCCGTCCATCTATCGTTGTTCATCTACTTATCCATCCATCTTTATTTTTAACTCCCTCCGTCCCTCTCTCCTTAAAGCGAGACCAATGTAGAAACGTCTACCATAGATTGGGAAGTGATGGTGGAAAATGAAGCTTTGTACTGATTGGATACACAGTAACTCTGGATTCTGTTCTTCACTAATTTCTCTCAGCTTCTCCCTGTTTCCATCGGTTTCTCTAAACACAATGTTTGACCAAACTACCAGCTGTGAACTAGAGGAATAAAACATTTAGGTGTGACGGAGGCTCACCTGGAAGATAAGTTATTTACTATCTAAAAGTTGTGAGTCTGATTGCAGGTTTCACTTTACCCTAAGTACAGATCTGCATAATGCTGTATGAATGTGTGCATATGTGTGATTGTGCTCTATATAAATCCAGTCCCTTTAGCATTCTGACGAGTCTTGACACTGAATCACCAAAAGATGAGAAATAATAGCGCCCAGGTGTAAATCTAGTGGAATTTTCCTTTAAGAACCTGCATGAGGATCATAGTGGCTCTACTTGAGTGTGCAAGCATACATACAATAGCTTGAGCATTTACAGGCATGACAATCCCCCTTTTTTTCTTTCTTTTTTTTTTTTTGGTCTCTCTCTCTACTGTACAATGGCCGACTCAGTTAATACGTGTGTGTTGGCATCTGATGTATTGCTTGTAGCTGTCTCTGTCACACACACACACTTGCACTCACCCACTCCGGCAGGTGTGACACAGACGGCAAAAGGCCACGGAAGCTCATGAATAGGAAATGAGGCTTCACTCCTGCGCCCCTCCATCTTCATCTGCATGAAGAAGTCTCTGCAGAAAGAGGGTTGTTTTTCTTTTTTTTTTTTTTTTTCCCCTCGTCACTCATCTAAATTCCATCCTCCTCCTTACACGGTGTTCATATCGTGTTTGTCATGCACGACAGCGCTGCTTCAGTGTGCTTGACAAGAATAGTGAATGGCCTGGTTATTACGGCGCAGTTATTGTCTTGTGCTGACTTTTATTCATGCCTTCCAAAAGTTAAGCATACAGCACTGGCTAAGCATTGGTCAGTGTCTGGTGAGGTGATTTATATATGAGGATTTTAAAGGATATTTTCCGTTATGCACTGTCGAAGCAAATTTAATTTTACCCGAAAGTATGCGTAGGTTTTATTTGGGTCAATTTAAATTAGTATTTCTGAAATGTGAGGGGCTAAGAGACAGGTACATAAATAAAACTCTGAACTATTTATTTTCTTTTTCACTTCAGTGATATATTACAGAATATATTACATAAATCTGAAATCATCATTGTAATAAATCAAGGATGTACGACCTTTACAACTTAAACAGCCATTTGTACTCTCAATCTGGCCAAATAAAAACTCGTTTAGAGATGTTGATGTTGCACAACATTCAGAAAAATGACAGGTTGTAATTTTTGATAAGTATATACTAAAGGAAATGTTATTTGAAGCACACATAGTCCAACTCTAATGGCAAGAAAATCAGATTTAAAAGCATATTACTTGTACTTTTAGTGTTGTTCTTTATGGAAATTCGGTTCAGATATTGCAGAAATAAACTGGAAAAATGAAGTCTGTTATTGGATCTAAATTTAGAAATATTACCCATTTTTCTTTCTAAATTACTTTTAGCTAAACTTATTGAAGCTGCACTACATTACCATGTCACTGTTATAACAGTTTGGTATGAGACAGATGATGTGTAAAAAAATAAATAAATAAAAATTGAGCTCTTCTGCCGGTGTTTATAGTGTTAACTAGAAACAACCAATCAGAACCAGAGGGCGGGTCTTAGCGCTGTCAATCACAATCTGATTATCCAGTAGTTGGCATGGCCACCAATGATGGTGGAGAAACGTTTTTTCTGTAACGGTAATTTGTTTCTCTGCCATTAGCACATTTAGCATAGAGTTCATGAGGCTGAGTGATGGCGTTGAGACCTGCCTCCTGGCTCTGATTGGTTGATTTGTTCAGGAGCGGTGCATTTCCTCACACAGCAGTAGAGAAAGGAGGTGGAGAAGGTCAGTCTTTTCACAGATTATCTGTGTGGTAGCAAACTATCACAATACGGTGACAATTTTAACAAGTATGTAGAAAACATATTCTTTTATAAGTTACATACTGCACCTTTAAGAGCCATTGTGGAAGGTCCAAAGAACAACTTGTGGCTCTGGACCCTTGGTGACCATTAAACCAGCTAAAATTAGCTTGTTTTTGTCTATGGAAATCAAAATGGCACCAAGTAAACTTCCTGTTATGCAACAGTTTTTACTCCCGTGTTTCTGCTTCACTATGAATTAAACTGTTGCTTTTAAATAAAAAATATTAAAGTGAATTTCTGTACAAGTACTATAATATTTTCACTTGAAATAAAATTAGTTAAAAAACAAAAAAAAGCTTTTGTTTATTTTTACCTATTCGGACCGGTTGACCTCTTCTAGCTCACGCCGCTGTCTCTTTAACAACCGGGCGCCGTTTTTGGCAGGCTCCCATCACCTCGCCAGCCAGAGACCTCTGAGCACTGTATGCATTTGCGTGCAGGTCCACATCGCTGCCAGCAACATTCTTGTGGACACAGAGGCAGACATGACGTTGTCATATTTGGGCAGTGGGAGAATTTCCCTTGTACATTTTTTTCTTTTTTTTTTCAGCCAAACCATAACCCAGCTCCTTAGCTGCCTTCCTTTCCCAACACAGTGAATTCATTTTTTTCCTCTGATTTCTCTCTTTTTGTCTTTTGTCCGCTAATGAAGCATCTAACAACCACAGGGTAGTTTGCCTGGCAGTGTGAGCTCTCCACCTGTGTCTTATCTACAGCTCCATAGCAACGATTCTCAGTAAACCCGTTCGCCGGCTGATTTTGATTGAGTCGTGTGCAGTGATGGAAGCTGTTTAGATTCCCCTCACTGCATCTGTTGGGGATTTTTTTTTCTTTCTTGACAGGCAATTAGATAAAGTGAAGGAATGCTAGTTTCCAAGTACAACAGGTGAAAAGAGTGAGCATTTTGGAACTAAATGCAGATCAATCAACAAAAACAGAAGCAAAACAGAGAGGAAGAAAAGGTTTGCTGTAGGTATCGTCGCCTTCTGATGGTGAAGTAAAGGAGAAGGAAAAAAACCCGTACTACCTCCTTTTACTCCCCACCTTTTTCCTCACTCTTTGTTTCTCTACCTCCTCCTTTGTTCTCCTGCTAACAATGTGAGTGTTTGCTGCATGTTGCCATGGCTATTCTTGGAGCCTGATGCACTCCGTTACCTTCCTGAGAGGCCGACTAACTCTGGGTGCTGTGTTTGTGTGAGCACAACTCTGGGAGTGTGTGGGTGGGATTTTCTTCCTTTTTTTGTGCATTTTGAGAAAGAGTGAGGGAGAGACAGCAGTGTTCCCCAGAAGCTGCTGCAGATGGGTGAACTCCTCTGTTTTGTTTCTCAGGCCCCCAGCAGCCTCCTGGAGGCTTTGGAGCAGCACCTTGCCTCACTGGAGGGCAAGAAGACGAAGGAGTTGAATGCGGACACAAGGTACGCGTTTCAGCCGCAAAGCACCGGAGTAGATTTAAAACTCGAGGAAATTTTGGTTTAGTTTCTAGGCCTGTCGCAATAAATCAATTAATCGTGTGATAAAATTAACTCTTGAATATCCATTTCTCTTTTCTTTCTCTTTTTCTACCAAAAACTCAATGACAAAAGTCTTCAGTCTGGTGCTTTGGTCTCAACTAGCCCTTTTTTTTTTGAAACACAATTTCATTTACGATCTTCATAGTAGATTTTTTTTTTTGAGTTCCAGTGTTAAATGTTCATCAGTAAAGTTTATTGATCTTTCAGGGTCTTTTCCTGCATTTTAAGCCATTACCATTATATTAATTGAAAATGGTCTCAAACAGCAATATTATCGTTTATCGCCATAACTTTTGGGACGATTTATTGTCCAGCAAAATTTGTTATGACAAGCCTACTAGTTTCTTAGTACACTTGAAACAAACAAAACTGTCTTAGAAGTCACTTTTCAGCACGAAATAGGATCTTGTTTTAAGTCGATAATTCCTCAATATTGATGAAAACGTTTTTCACTTGTAACATGGGAAAAAAATGTCCACCCATGGAATTAGTACTTTTTCATCAATATTAAGTAACTGTTGACTTAAACGAGCTGAAAAGTTACTTATGAGTTATATCAAGTGTACTAAAACATTTCAGATGGAAACTAGACCAGAAACATTCAGGGAATTTTTATTTTTAATTTTTTTAATGAAACATGGTCAAACTTCCTTGTTTTCTTTTTTGTTTGTTTTTTTTTTTTTTTTCCAGAGCGTCTACCTTGTCGAGTGCTGTCTCGTCTCTGTCCTCCACCGGCATGTCCTTCAGCCGCATGGATGAGAAGGAGAAGCAGCAGGCCTTGGAGGAGGAGCAGGCCCGGCTGCAGGCTCTCAAGGTGAGATTTCAGACCCCGTCACCTCTGAAGGAGGCATTTGGTCTGTGAGATGAAGCAGCCAAGAGGCTCTCAGAAGGAGGTTGAGTACAGACTGATCTGTCCTTTCTCAAGTGACTTCAAGTGGCGTCTTTGCAACTAGTTCATTGAGTTCTGTGCAGCTGCTTCTTAAGACACAAAAGGCTGTGTATAATTTTAATCCAGTTCTTAGCTACGATAGTTTTAAGATGGATTCATTTTGGGCATGCGTATATAAAGTATACATGTTATCTAGAACAGAGACTGAGCTGGACTGTGAACGCATACAGACGTACTAACCGTAAAAGTATTAAACTTCCCAGGAGTGAATATGTATAGGAAAGTAGGTATGTTCTAAAAATTAAGAATATCCTAATGAAACTTGGGTAGCTTCACATTTGAAGTTATTAAATGCCATAGGAGTTCTTATTTGTAGGGTTTGTTTTAGACTTTGTGGACAGGATGTAGTTTCCACTCTAAAAAAGTTTTCAGATCCATCCTCGCATCTGCAGATGATTAAAAATGCAGAGTTAAATACAAGCAGTTTTCCACCGGGGTGAAAAATTTATTTTTAGTTGAAATGGATTAAATATGATGTTGAAAATGTTCTGAGCTTCAGAATGAGCTTTATTTATAAAACATGCTTGAACCTTGAGGAAAAATGCTCGTAAAACCACGTTTATTTATTCTTGATATGGTTAACTTTTTGTATCCGCAACTTCTACTTCAGTGTTATTTGGCTCACTTTTTAGTTTCATCTGGAGCTTAGATTTATGACCAGACTCCAACTCGAAATTTGGGCCGGGTCGCACCAGAATTATTGGATGAGTTTCTTGACATCTTCTTGGGACATAAGTCCTTTAATCGTATGTTATTCTTCAGGTGATAGAAGGCTGAATTTGTAACTGTCTTTATGTGGCTCTGAAGGTTCAGGTCAGAGTCAAATGCTACACCCAGATTTCAGAGCCGATCACTAATATTTAGCTGTAAAAACTGAAGCTATACGCTGATTCAAGATCATTTCTCTTTAGCTCCAAAGATGATAACTTCAGTTAACCCTTCTAGCCCCTTTTTTTGAAGGACAACTTTGTTTGCAGAGACGTCATCATTAATTTTATTTGTTGTTTTTTTATTTTGGATGTTTAAAATGTATTCCACCTCCAGTGTTAAATATGCATTAGAATTTAACATTTATTCATCTTTGACAATGTGTTCTTGCGTTATTATGCCATTATCATTGATCATGGTTTCAAAACAACAATATTATCGTTTATTACAATAACTTCCAAGAAAAGTTAATGTCCAGCAAAATTATTGTGACAGGCCTTACCTGAGCTAGCGGGAGCCATGTCGATGTTAAACAGGAAGTTGTCCTAGGATTGAACCTTGTGGTACACCACATGTGACTTCTGCTCGTTCCATTGAGAAGTTACCTACTGACACAAAGAAGTTCCTGTTTGTTACAGAAGATTAAAATCAATTACTGTAATTACTGTGAGTACCCAAACAGCATGCTTTGGTCAGCTTCCGCTAGCAGAATTTGACATGGCGGCCATCTTGTTAAGGAAAATGAGAACAGAGCTGTACGATATCGTTAAACTGCGTAAGAGAAGATGTCGATGCAGAAGTTGGAACAATCAGTACAAACCTGCAAACATTTCCACATCGTGGCTTCAATTGGCACAACACATCACACCAGGTGATACGCCGCGCCAGGAATGCCAGTGGTTCCCCACCGCCCCCCCATCTTTGACATCTCAACTCCAGTTGAAAAATAAAGGCCAAAAGGCTTCAGCGGTAGTGGGGCCACACAATTGAAAAGTCAAGTATAAAATGTGTTGGCATTTTTCACTCCAGCCCTGGGAGTCCTGCCTTGCAGCAAACTGTAATTGACTGAGAGCTCAGTGGGAACTACAATTCAGGCACACATAGCAGCATCTGGTGTGTGTGTGTGCGTGCGTGCGTCTGTGTGTGTGTGTGTGTACACAAGCTTTGTTTCACAAGTAGCTCGCTTACACCTCGTAAGAAAATGTTGCAGTTTGTTTAGTAGCGCTGCCCCTCTGTCTGTGTAAACCCCCTACAAGCCTCTTGTGTGTACGAATCATGTGAGATTATGCACAGTTAGCATTGCCTCACTGTCTTGGTGCGTTTGATTGGATTATATTTCTGTTTACTCTGTGCCCTTGGTTTGTCCCGCTTCTATCGAGATGCAGTGAGTTGTTTTTCTTTTCTTTTTTTTTTTTGTTTGTTGTTTTTTTTTTTTTTTTTCTAATTTAGAAAGAAGAGGTGAGATTAAGTGAGAACATAGTTCAATAAGAGAGCTGAAGAGAGGTCAGGAGGGGTCATCCAAAACCTTCCAGTCCAGCTGTCTGCGCTCTTTGGTGTCCATATGGGTTCAACGCGCACATACAAAAACACTTCCACTCTCAGCTACTGTCCAGCTGGGGCTTCAGCCCAAACAATACCAGCAGTTGGCTGCTTTTTTCTTTTTTCTTTTTCCCTTCCCTCACTACTCTGTCGGAATAGAAATGAGGAGAAGGCTGGTACAGCAGGAGATTCTGTTTTATTAATCCGCTCTGGATACTTTTAAAGGCGGCAGAGGTTGTAAGGTGACTTGGAACATTTCTTCACCTTAAAGTTGTGCACTGAATTAAAACCTCCGTCTGGCCTTGTGTAAATAAGCCACATAAAGGCGCTTTTTTGAGGAGCTGTGTTTTCACTCCGACTGCAGTCATCCATACCAATAACCAGCCTGACTGCTCTACTGGAAATTGCCTCATTCGCTGGGCAAACAGTAAGTTTTTTTTGTTTTTTTTTGTTTTTTTGGGGGGGGGAAGGGAGGGGAATCTCCCACAGTGAATTCCCTGACAGGAAAAAAAACTTTAAAAAAAACTAGTGCATTGATTTCTGCAGGGCAAATTAAAAGGTCTGGTGTGTTAGATACCCCGACAGTGCATGAAATACAGCAAGAAAATGAGAGATTAGGGAAGAGATGATGCAATACAACAAGTTTGACTATTTATTTTAAATATCTTTACAATACTTAAATTGCCAAATTAAATTGTTTCATTGCTTGATGTTAAAATCTAAAGTCCTTGTGAATTATTCAGTCCTTCCAGGATGTTAGAAGGATGCAAAAATTTACTTTTTGCATCATCTTTTTTTAAAAGTTGCCTTTTTTCAGCTTTATTTTTACCATAACAATTTCAACAAGAACGTTGAAATAGTTGCAAATAACCTTCCCCCAAATAAACAAAAAAAAAAAAAAGAAAGGATTTTGACAAGGTTAATAGTTAAAGTACAAATAACACTTCCAAGTACTTTCTTGTAATATCACAAATAATGTCTTGAGAAGTTATCAAAGTGAAAAAAAATTATTTCATATTTATTATTCAAGTTAACATGAGTTGCATAAACAGTAGAAGGAAATCCTACAGAACATAAAAACACACCCGCTTTCATCTTGCTCGCTCGCCTTTCAAGAAATGTCATCAAACAGGAAGTTAAATTATAGGACGCCGTGTGGATCGGTCAAAATTCAGCCAAGTTGCAGTGATTGGTCAGAAAAATTGCGAATGAGTGAATTTGCATTTGTTGCTCAGCACCATATTATGTTAAAGACCTTACCCTGCCTTACCTCACCATTCACATTCAACTCATAGGTTAATTCTCTAAAACCAGACACATCACAAATGTAGATTATGGCTTGATAGAAGTGCTGATCTCAGACTAGAAAGTTGCATAACATTTTGATATTTTCCCACTGTTTTCTTCGCCATGTCTTTTTCCTGAGATCAGTCCGGAAGCTTCCAATCGTTTCCCCGGCCGTCTTGCAGACGCCAGCAGCGTTCTGCTGCAGTTTGAGCCTATTGGAAACGACCCCTGCTGTTTTTGTCACGTCATTCTTCACATCTATTGACTTCCATCACTTTGACTCAGCACAACGAGAATAAAGCTTATATTAAAATGCAGAATGTTTAGTTTTTTTGTTGTTCTTGTAGCTGTGGACGGGCTTTGCTGATTTGTGTAAATGTCACTAGAGAGAAGCAAACCCTGTTCTCAGCAGCACCTGGGTCTTGACAGAACCGGGTCAGATACAACATGAAAAGAACTAGGAAGGTCCATGTACTCACTGTGAATTATTTTTTTTAAAAAAGGACTAATTAGTTTTAAAATCCCTGTATTCTGAATCCCAAACCCTGATAGCAGCATTTCTAGAAACCTTTGGGAGTGCTTCTGGGCTTTTGTAGGAATACTAAAAGCCAAACTTGTACCCAAAGAAAGCTGTCTAGCGTTTTACATTGTGTGTCTGCATTGCAAGGCATCAATGTCTGACAATATCATCTGCCCACTTTGACTCAGATGAGTTGTTACTGTTGGATTACACAGGGTGTCCACGCATTCTATAAAGCCTTAAATTCATTAAAATAATGTAGGCCTTAAATACGTTAATCTCAGGTCTTAACAGTGACAGGACTGTTAAATCTTGCATGTTCTTGTTTATGTAGTTTTTTTTTTTGTTTTCATGGGACTTTTCTGTCAGGCAAAAGCTTGAGTCTTGTGCCAAAATCTTTGTTGTGTTCTGTGGCTTCAGGTGGTTCAGGCTACTGGTTACTAGCAGCAAATATGCAATTACTAGCTAGCTGTCCTAGCAAGGGTAAATTTGGCCTTGCTAGCAAGGACGAGGCTATATTAGTTAACTAGCAAGGGTATATTTGCTGCCATTTACCAGATGCTAGCTAGCTGTTTGTCAAGCCCTTCTCTCTTTCTAGACACAAACAGCAAGGATATATTAGCAAGGGCAAATAGAGCCTTGCTAGCTAGCCAAGACAACTTTATTTATAAGCATTTTTTGAAACGGTAAAACTGGCCAAAGCGCTGAACAATAATCATATAAAAATAACAAAATAAATCAAACGATAACATAAAATATGTAAAACACAACTTGATAAATAGAATGACCACTCTCATGCTGAGTCAATAACCATTGAAAAGTAGCTAGCTAGCCAGTTATCTACCTAGCAATGCTTTTCCTCATCATGCAAGTCCCACAGGGGTCAACCATCCCCAATATTTAGTTTTTTGATCTGAAATTTCAATCAAGTTGTTTTTATTAAGAAGGTCATGAAGTCTTAAATTTGACTTGTTAGCCTGTTAAAAACAATTTATTTGTCTCTGTACCCATTTTCAAATGAATCCAGAACAGCCTAGTCTCTCCTCAAGCTGTGCTGGGGTCCTCATTTCTCTCACGTTTGTTTTTTTGTTTTTTTTTCTTTCCAGGACCAGCGGCTGAAGGAGATCAGCATGCATACTCCACCCTCCGCCTCCCCCAGCAGCCAGTCGGTCGGCAGCGCCAACAACAACAACCACATCTCACACACCCCGGAGTTGTTTGGCTCCGTGCTGAATGCAAACAGGTGCACAAACCTAAGCAGACACGGTCAGAAATCTGCTCACGCCGTTAAGCATCCGTCATGGTAGACGTTGACCCAAATATTTCTAAAGGAATGTGTTCAGGAATTCAACAGATGAGCAGCAGTTTTTCATCCCGGTTTGGGTTGTTTAAGTAGAAAAAAAAAAAAGTCCAGATCAGGAATCTGCTGCCATCTTTTCTGCAGTCTAGATTTGACATAATGAACCACAGAAACGCCTTATAAAAATCAGAAGGAAAGTTTTTGTGGACTATTTTTGTGTTATCCATCTGCAAAGTGTCTGAGTCGCCCGTTCTGGATATTCAGGTGCATCTCTACAAGTTATAATAAAATCAAAGTCCTGTCATTTCAGTAATTATATTAAAATCTGAAATTCATTTAGGTTTATAACACATGGCAATATTTTAACAGTGCAGTATGTAAAATTGACTTTTTTGAGTTTTAAATCATGTTATGTTATTCCTCATTATAAACATACCTGGAGCTGCAGTTGCCAAGATGGTGAACTTCCGCGTTAAAGAGCAGCACTTCGACACAACTTCCCCACTCAGCTCCTTCAGACTAGCCAGCAGCAATTAGCAAACACCTGGTGGAACTGCTCATCTGCTAAACTCATTATATGAGCTCCTTCTCAGTGCAGCACTGGTAAAAATGTTGTTAAAGGGTTAATAGAGGAGCCATGTTGTGATGACTTCCTGAAGGCCAATAGAGCTGGAGCTTCTTAAAGAGAATTTGAAATATGTCTGTAATAGTCTTTTAAGTTGAATAGCTAATATTGACATGAATCCCTATTCATGTCAGACTTTATAAGTTTATATTCATAATAAGTGAATGAAATTAAAAGTCAAATGAAATTAAGTTTGATGTACCTGTATCTGCCAGACGTTTTCCTTCCACTTAGCTTTCCCTCAGGATGCTTGGAAACAGCACTCTGCAGGCAACTAAGCAATAAACCTTTGTGGCTTGCCTTCATATAAATGAATAGAAGTGTGTCACTCTCTATACATAAAAATAGGATTTTTTTACTTTTTGAACTGAATCACCACATCAAACTAGCTTTTTGTGGTTTGATGTTGTCCTGTAAACTTTTAGGGGTCGGGATCTCATTATTTACCAAGAGAAGAAAATGTTCTTCATTCGATGTTTAAAAAAAGTCCTGCAAGCCGTCTTCACGGTTCAGTGTTTATCAGCAAAACTCTGAACCCTGAGACAAGATGCATGTCAGTTTTCGTTCTGGAGCCCAGAAATCTTTCCTCAACTTCTTCCCAGGAAATGGATAAAGTATTTGGATTTAATAATCGGAGCAAAATATACACACTGTGAATTTACTGCCGCTAACTGCTTTATTGCTCGGGGGGGGAAGATTTTATAGCCCTGCAGAGAGCGGGGATTAATCTTGATCTGTGACAAACGAACGTTTTTAGTGGCGACTTTAGCTATTTATGCTCAGTTGATTAAATATTAATACTCTCTCTGTGTCTCCTTTCATTTCCCCACACGTTTTTTTTTTTTTTTTTTTGTGGTTGATATCTTGATTTATTGTTTTTTTTCTGTCCTTTCACTTTCTCACTTCCTCACCTCTCCCTCCCCCTCCGGTTTGCTCCTCAGCGTCCCCAACCTGAACAGCGACCTGTTTGATCTTCAGCCGGCCTTCATCCCCGCCGTGCAGAGCACTCCTTCCATCTCCAACGCCAACAGTGCCTGGGGAGGTAAGCTTTCATCTCCCTCCTGTATTTATCGACACCCCAAGACAAAAAGATTCGACCGTTTCCTTTAAAATAAGCGCGCTTGGCTTTGTAATAATGACTCCTGCGATTGCGGTTCCACACTTCAAAATGGCGCAAGGAACCAATCGTGGGTTTTCGTGTCGTTCTCCGCTGAAACCCGGGCGTGTATTAGCTGTGACCCGCGTGTTTCTGAGCTGACATTTTCAGCTCGCTATCAGCCATCTTGAATCAAAGTGTAGCACAGTGATGCATCTGGAAGCTCTGGCGGTGTGGAGTATTAAAGGCTTTGTGTCGCAGGATTACCGCCGGAGCCGTTTGGTAAATTCGCTCGGCCAGATTTCAAAGCCGGAGTTGCTTGTGAGCGACAGCGGCGGTCGTCGTAGTCATCGGTGGGTCTGACTTCACAGCTTCTGTTCCAGTCCACTGTTGTTTTTCTCTACGACGACACAACAGAGAGCACTGTTTAATCAAACTGCTGCTCAGGGGATCAGTTCCTGTAAATACACTGATTTGTTAAAACGTGCAGGAGCTGCATTGTTATATTGCTGGGCCGTCAGCTGTTTTGTCATCCAACTTTAAGGAAGGGCACATTATCTCCTCTAAACATTTTATTGATGGTTTATTGATCTCAGGGTTCCTATACCGTCTGGGATTTGATTAGAGATGTTTCCTTCCCTAAAGACACATGGAATAAGTCAATAAGAGGAGAAAATATCAGCATTTCCTTTCACTGATCAATATTTATGCCATCCGTCTACTATTGCATCCATCCATCAATCTCTTTTTTCCATTCACCCACCTATTTTTTATTCATTTATATGTTCATCCTTTCGTCTCTGATATTTTATGCATCCACAGGCCTGTTGCAATAATCAATAAGTCAGTTAATCGCATGACTAATTAAAACGAGCTCAATCGTTTTAATTTGGGTCATTTATCGTTTTTCTCTTTCTACCAAAAACTGATTAATAAAAGTTTTCAGTCTGGTGCCTTTGGTCTCAAATATTCATTTGTTTTTTAAAGGATAATTTTGTTTACAGACTTAATGATCCGTTTTATTTCTTGTTTCTGTTGTTTTTGTTCATTTATTTTGAATATTTAAAATGTCTTTCAGTTCTTTTTGTTAAAAGTTTACTGATTTTTGAGAATGTGCGTTGTTATTATTATTATTATTATTATTATTATGCCATTCCCATTATATTACTTGAAAATTGCCTCAAAAGAACAATATTATCACTTATCGCAGTAATTTCTGGGACAATTTATCATCCAGCAAAATTCATTCACAGCTATCATCCATCCATTATTTTCATAATCATAAATTCAGAATTCATAATAAGTTTAAAGAATCCTGTGACTGAACCCGGTTTGTTGGTGCGACGACATTAAAATAAGAGTTTTTACACATACGCAAAAGAAAATGTCAGACAGTGCTGTTCAATAAAAGTTTTATTCTTTCCCTGGGAGATTCACAAGTATCTCCTTTGTTGTTGTGCGGCGTTCTGTTCAGATAATGACATTTCTCCCGACAGTGAACACGCACTCAGGTGCATCAGTACGTTTCCTCATGAACAGGCTTTGCTTTGAAACCTTCAGCAGCCTGCACAGAATCCTAAATTTCAAAGCCACGACGGCGGTAGAGCGGTGACCAGGTTCCTAAATCTAACGGGATTAGATTAGCGGGAGGTTTGGGAATCCTCCCCACAGCGAAGCCACAACTGTGTTTCCCTGCAAAACGCGTCCTGGTTGCGTCTCCCGCAGCGTCCTTCAGTGAAGGTTTGTGGGATGAAGCTCGTCCAGATCAGCCTCACTCAGTCGTATTTAACTGCATTCCTCAGGACTGGAGAGCCAGCCGCTGCAGCAGACCACCCCGGCCATGACTGTAGATTTTGATGCCGTGTTCGGGAATAAGTCCACACCCAGTAACAACGGCCCACAACCTGCAGCCGGTAAACAGCCCCTCGCTCTGTCCGACTGTCCGGACAGGGAAGTGACTAAAACCCCTTGGCTTTGATGGCGGCGCGCTCTGGACTAACCCTCTGATTAGTTTCAGCAATCTGTGTCTGTTCTGCTCTGGGGATTGGCTTTAGTTTTTTTTTTGTTTTGTTTTTTGTTTTTTTTTTTGCTTTCTAACTCTGCTTTATGTTGTGGTATTTTATTTTTTTGGTTTGTTTTCTAATGATGACCTCTGCCACAGAGACGGAAACCACAAGGTCTTGGTATCGGCAAACTTCAAATTCAGCAGAATTTCTCTTACATTTCCTCCTTCTGGCTTACTTTATTTTATGCTCTCATAACCAATCTTTCTTTGAGCTCTAAAAAAGGGACATCCTGCATTATTTTTTCAACTGTTAGACCTTCAGATTAGATCATTTTGTAACCATTGTGTAACTTTGTTTAACCATTTTCCCAATTCACAGGTGAGGATCTGCTTTTGTTGTGCTTTTGAAACTTCTTTCAATTTTATCACGTCACATACACCAACTGCAACTTCAGTTTGCGTGGATGTTGCGCAACCTGCCACCACAAAGCAGACCATAACTGCTTATGCATAATAAATCCGCCAGAAGATTTATTACGAACATCAGGGAAGGGAAGCTAATACTGTACATCAACCTGAACCAACCGTTTCCATAGTCGTGTTGTAGACGATCTAGTCAAACTCCAGACCTAGATCTAGTTGAGCCTTAAACATTGCCTTTCCGGGACACGTCCCACTAATTTGGCAAACATTTTGGTCTTTGTGTGAAAATCTGGCAGAGAAATAACCTAAAACACTTTGAGGTGAAACTGTATTTTGTTGGACAACTTTGCAGGGTGTCTGCACATCCAAAAGAAAAATGTCTTTAAAAGATGTAAGGTGACCTTAAGTAAGTTAACAAAAGGTCTTATATTCTGTCCTGGCATTCATATCCTATGTGATTTTTTTTTTTTTAAGGGACTTTACTGTCAGTGAAGAGTTTGAGTCGTGTTACCGGCTAATAAACCATAGCTAACTAGTTAGCTAGCTAAGTTTATTGTGTCTATCAGCGTTCGTCTTTCCTGTTGGCTCACTTCTACTGCCAACCCGTACCAGGATAGGTTGCATAAGGCAGCCTGGGGTTAAGGCTGTAGAGAGAATCGTAAAAGTCTTAAATCTGAGTTGGTGAAACCATAACTTTGGAACCAAACCATGTATCTTTGTCCTTTCACAATAAAATTACAAACTGCCTTGTGTTGCTCCGCCGCTTGAAATCCTGATAAAATACATTGAGTTTTGTGGTTATAACTTGACAAAACATTAAAAAAAAAAAAATAAAAAAAAAAAAGCTTGAGAAACACATTTGCAAGGCAGTGTAAGTGAAGTTTCTCTCTTGCTGCCATTTTAGAGATGAACTCATTTCCTGTCTTCTTGTTGTTGGACAGTTTTCACAACAGCAGCACCCCGTCAGTCGCCGCCCCATGTGGACATTTCTACATAATTCATGAAATTTCTCAACTAATGAAAAAAAAAAAAACAGATCTATTTTTATGAAACAGAAATGTTGGAGGGGAATCTAGGATAAAATCTTTAAAAATAAAAGCATCTTCTATGCCATGTTTTGATTTTTCCGCCTCCTCTGACCTTGTGTAACCCCTTCGGACCCAACAGTCGGAGGCTTTTCTGTCCAGACTAGTTCTGTGTTTGGAGATTCTTTTCTACTCATAAAGCTTCTATTGCAACGACCCATAAACCATCTGGGCAAACCGACCACATCTCCCAAAAATCACTCCGTCTCCAGCTGCTCCACATCTGCACTGATGTTTGCATGCACGCACACACAGACGTGTCTGTGTTTGTAAATGTGTCCATTCACACGTCCTCCATCATTTCCCTCTCCTCCGTCTGCCTGCTTCTTCTCGTCTGTTGTGTTTTGTTGTCATTCACACCGTTCCCACCTTCCTCCTCCTCTTCCTCATGCCGCTGCCTCCTCTCGTTTTGTCTTCGCTTCGCCGTCTCCTCATCACACATCACAAGGCAAGAATCACCCAGGCAACTCGGGTCCATCTGCTTCCCCTCCGACTCCTCGCTTTTAAAATAAAGAAATCCCTGTTCTTTCTTTTCTCCCCCTCCTCCTTCGCGCGTTTTGCTGCAGCTTCTTTTCTTTTTAATATTCCCTAGTTAACTGCTGCAATTTTTTTGTTTTTGTTTTTTTGTTCTTTCTGATTGGTTAATAAATGAGGCGCCAGCTTTTCTATTCAAATTTGTAGATTTCATTAATTTTAATGGAAAACATTCTGCCTTTTCTTGTTTCTCATCTCATCCAAATAATTGTTTCTTCTGTATTCATCAGCAGTGTCTTTTTAGGTTTTAACTCTTCTTCTTTTTTTAATGTGGAACTAAAACCCACCAAAGCTGAAGGAAGTCATCAGAGAACTAATCTTGGAGTTTGTTTCTAAAAGTACTTTTGCACTCGACTTGCTTTTGTGTGAAGTAATCATGGCGATCTAGACAGAGGAGAGCTAATAATGTTTGTCACGCACAATTGAATTTCCTCACTCAGATGAATAGGAAAGGAAGAAATGCACCACTTTTGTATTAAATAAACTCCCTGTTGCTACTTCTATTTACAAAACAAAAAAATCATGATTAGGGCTACCTTGGATGCTTTGCTACAATATCTAAAATACAGTTTAAGTTTGCCTACATTTGAGTAAACGTAAGTAAATATTTTTTCATACAGTTATGGAGAATTACAATTTTTTCCAAGAATAAATGTGTGAAAGTGTCGCAGCGCGTCACTTCTTTCATCAACATTCTGCACACAAACCTCCAATTAGGATAATTTGGGATAAAGTTTTATGCTCATTTATTAAAAATAAAAATAATTTTTAAAAATCACATTAACATAAGTATCCCCAGCTTTTTTCAGCCTGATTCCACTGATTGTCCTAAAAATGCTTCAACATCTTAAATGGAGTCAGCTTGTGGTAAATGCAGTTGATTGGACTTGATTTGAAACACCTGTCTATAATAACGTCCCACATTTTGAGGAAAGATATTAATTTAACACAATTTGGATTAAAAAAAATTGGAACAAAACAAAATGTGTAAAGAAGTGAAACGCTGCGATTTTTTGTGAATACACTACTTAGTTCTGCAGTAGATGGAAACAAACGATAAAGAACCAGGAGATCCTCTGCATGGCCTTTCAGAAATATTCATACTCTGTACATCTGATTTTATTACCTTACAGTTACAAACTTTACTGCATTTTGTTGGGATTTTGACAATTAGATCAACACAACACACTGCATAACAGTAAGGTAGAAGTAAAAATACAAACACATGGGTTTGAAACCGTTTACCAGATTTATTTAAACTGCTGGGCTTAAAGTAAAGGACATCATGGATCAGAGGAGCCACCACGCTGACTGTGGAGGAGCTGCAGAGATCCACTACTCCAGAAATCTGGAGAAAACTATTTTATTTTAAGAAGCCATTTTGGCTCTTTATTGAGAATGAATGAAGAAAAAGCCTAACCTTTTCGCTCTCCGTATAGAACGATATTTGGAAATTTTTATCAAATTGCAAAACATTCACTGTAACTTGGACTACTTCCCAAGAGACTGTGAATGTTTAGACTTTAGATAAGTCCGATAAGATCTGTTTGTAACCACACAGAGAGGATGGTGCCACACAGGAAACAGAAAAAGATCATTTTGAACCACTGTGAAAGATTTTTGCCTCTTGCCTCGAGAAAGCAGCTCTAACCAAAGAGACTGGAGAGTCGCAGTCAGTAAATTATGGGGAGTGAATGTCATTTCTGAGTAGATTTCACTGCGAATTAATTTAAATGAAGATTTTAAATGTTTCAGCTCTGTTTTCACTCCAGCAGGTGGCCACGATATCTACCAATTACATCTTCAGCAGTAGATACCGCTCAGTGCTCATTGTCTGTGCTGAGTTTTAGACGATGTCGCCTCATTAAATTTCGGTTTACATCTGTGAGCACCAAGTGGTTCTCAGACGAACTATTGGAGCAGATATGCCTCCTTCCTCTCCTTTGATCTTTAACCCATATTGACACCCAATCTGACTCCAAAGCATCTAAGCCAACACCGATGACGTTCATCCTCCCAGTTCAATACGGCGCTTCTCTTCCCCTTCCGTCCAGCTTACCTTCGTCTGCATGTGTGATCAACTAAATTTTCCTCCCGTCTCAGTAGAAAGTCTCTGTAATTCAGAACACTTCACTGACACGCAGTTGAAGGAACATCAAGAAGTGGGGGGAGAACAGCCACATTCTTAGTGTTTTATTACAGTGTCGACAATGGGATGGAAATTAAATTAAGGAGGAAAAAGGTTGATTTAATTTCTTGTCTGACTTGCCCTCCGCCCCTCCTCGTGTTGTTCCTCACTTTTTCTTTTTTTTATTGTTTTTGCTTCATCTCTGAGTTTCATCTTGCCGTTTTTAATTTTTCTTCCTACTCTACGCTGCCCCACCTCCCTTGTTTTCTCATCTTGCTAAGCCAGCAGTGAAAGTGTTTTTCGAATCTCTTGTGTCAGCATCGCTGTCAGGCCTACACACCGCTTCCTAACTAAATATTATTCCTCCCTCTTTTTTCCCCCCCATCATCAGTTGTCTGTCTGTGATTTCCTCCCCTTTGAGAAGACACTGTCCATTTATAAGCAGTAAATATTAGTTTTCTGCTTTGTTCAACTCCCCTGGTATTAAAAAAAAACAACACTTTTTGTATTTGGAATTAAACCAGTGGTGCAAACTTTTGTATACACACTTTTTTTTAATTTGTTTTTACCTGTCGCAAACACCTTTTTTTGCATCCAATACACACACATGCACACTAGCAGTCGCACCTCCAGGTTTTTCTACCAGCAAATAGTAACAACCATTAGCTGAATGAGTGCTGACATGGGAGTTGTTACTGCTGGCTCCTAAACTCACATGCACACCAGTACAGGCAATGGACACTGGGGGGAAGAAAAAAAACAGCAAACAAACTTTTTCACATGCTTTCAACCAGGTACATTTATATTCAATCAAGACTAATCACTGTTCAGAGTCGTAGAGTGAATATGACAGCTAGGATCATGTAAATTGGTAACCTGGATGAATGCAATCTACCAAGTCAGGGATTAGAGGCCGCTACATGACAGGAATAGTGAAATGTAGAAATGTTCATTCTCATTTCTGCTCACAAGATTTAGAGCAAGAGACGCTTAGTAGAATTCTGAGTAATTCAATTCAAGAATATTTTATTAATCCCAGAGGAAAATTAAATGTCACTCATACACTTTTCCTCAGACTTCTTGTAGACGGCTGTACTGTTGCGTCTCCAGTTTGGTCTCCACCACTGCTTCTCCTCCTTCTTCCATGACAGAAATGGTGTTCGCTCTGTAATGTTTTCCTTAAAACTGCTCTACATTGGATTGGTTCACTCAGTAGCTTGAACACATTGGGTATTATTAGCTTATAGAGCCAAAATCCCCCGAGTAAGAATGGCTGACGTATTTGCTAGCACACAACGAGAATAACATAGGGTTAGCTTAAAGATATTGGTAAATATTAGCTTACATAGCTAAATAGTAATAGGCAGGATTTACAAATGATGTTTGTTGGACTAACTTGGTAGCTTGAATGCATTGAATAATATTAGCTAATATGGTCAAAATCCTGTGAGTCAGTTTGTCTAACACATTAGCTAGCTCACAGCCAGAATAACATAGGGCTAGCTAAGATATTGATTTAAAAGTGCTGTAAATTTTTTCGCTAACATTGCTATAATAGGGAATTAGCGTATCGCACCAAATTACAGATATTTGTTGGTAGAATAAAGTCAGAACATACTAATGTCAACTGAACATATCTTTAAATTAATCTGCTTTCATTGTCATATCTAGAATAGTAATAAGTCCAGGAAGCTCTAACTTTACACAACTACGTAGGTCACAGAGTTCATCGCATTCAGTTTGCTTTTTCTCTAATATTCAGAAATACAATGAGTTTCAGTGTGAACATACAAGCTAACATGCTGAATTCACATAAGCTAATTTAGCCAAAATATCAGCTTGAACATATTGGTTAATAACTCAGGACTAATCTACTTTTACAGTTAAAAGTGATTTAGGACTTAATACTATCAGTTCTTTCAGTCAAAACTATTCCATGTTATACTTTTAGGATAATATATTCAGTTTTAGCTAGGTGCAAAGCTCCACTGACATTTTAAGTTGTGCAAATGACTTCTAGAACTAAGAGATGAGCAGAGATGCCCCAAATGTTAACAATCCAGAATAATTGTGCTTTAGTTTAGATATAATTTGCTTATAGTAAAATAAATGTAGAATTTGGGTATTAAAAAAAAACAATTGTAAAACAAGTTTTTAAGAAGATTGTGACTCGAGGAACTTTGTCCTTCTGGTGCTGACATTTTAGCAACACTAAATTGACTCACCGCCTCTCTATGCAAATCATGCAGCTACCACACACTGCATACATTGTAAAATATGTCCTGATAAATTATTTTGAGAAATTTGTGTGCATCATGATTGTTTCCTCTAGATAATAGGGACATGTTTAGAATGTTCTTTTGAATTTCTGGGAAGAAAATTATCTGCAGTACACATCTTTTAAAACTAGATCAGCTTCCCATAGAATCATATTTAGCGCCATTGTTCTGCACAATGAGGCGGGACGTGTGACCTCTTACAATAAAGAAGCACAGGATCGTTCAGAGATTAGAAATGTTACTTGTAACTTAAAATATTTCTGGCTATTGAGTTGCTCGGCTTTCTGATGTCGTTTATCAGGCTGCTTAGCCTCTGGAGTGCACTTAAAAGCAGCTCAGAACGATGTCCTTTATGCTTTGGATGCTTGAATAAACAACTTACTGCCTGATATTTTTCACAAACCCAAAGTTTGACAGTCCTTCAGGGCTTTATTTCACTTTCTAAGCTGTAACTGAGCTGCTGCTGTTCTGCAAACAGAGAAGCCCATTTCCTCACAGAAAATAAAAATTACAAACATCTCTGCTCTTGCTTTTCTCTCTTTTCATCCGTCTCTGTGTATCTTGTGAAGCTTCCACGCATTTTTCATCTCTTTACAAGGTTGTTTGAAGCCTTTCAGATGTAAAAAGCACCTTTTTTTTCCTGTTTCCCCCCCGCTGCAGCCCCAGCTCATCTACATGAACAAAATTGATTTCTTGTGCAGGTTTCGATGCTCTCGGAGACCTGTTAAAGCCCACAGTCACCGCGCACACCGCACAACCTCCTCCTCCTCCTCAAATGGCCATCCATCCTGGAGGAAAGCTGCTAGCCAATGACCTCGACTCCTCTCTGGCCAACCTTGTGGGCAGTGAGTGCTGACACACACAAACTTGTTAACAAAGAGAGAAAACGAGTTGCAATAGCCGCACAGCAGATGGAACAGTTACATAACTTTACCAATGCAACACCGGGCCTTGAATAATTACCGGGCGCTGGCTGTACTGCGGTTGAACACAAGTCCAGAAGATTTTTATTTATTTTTCTGAAAACTTGTGTGCGTTCTCCAGAAAATGCTCCATTTCACTTTGTTCTCCGTTTCTTCTCCCCACTCAGATCTGCAGTTTGGATCTGGAGCCAAGAAGTAAGTTTCTAGACTTGTTTTTGAAAGATTAATGCAGTTCCCTACTACTTTTGCTTTCTCACGTGTTTGTACTCTGGCAAAAGAAGTGCTCAAAATAGTATTAAGCAGACTTATTGAGTTGTTCTGCTTGTTCTTCAACAGGCCAGAGATGCAGTGGAACCAGCCTGGTGAGAAGAAGCTAACCGGTGGCCAAAACTGGCAAAATAAGACCATGTCGACCACACAGTGGGGCCCCGCGCCCATGGCTCCACAGCCCATGCCTGTGCCACATGTGGTGAGGAACCGTAGCGCCTGTGACACTTTGGACCGTTTATCTAAGAGAGCTGAAGAGGTGTTTGCAAGTTCTTGAAGGCTGCAGTAACCCTGCTCACGATTATTAAGTTTGCGCAATCTTTAAAAGTCTTAATGCATCTATAATTAAGGCCTTAAAATGTCTTAAATTTGCCAATAAAATGGAAGGTATCCTTAAATACATTAATCACAAGTCTTAAATTTTGTTGTGGCGGGATTATTTAATCTCTTATATTCCATACAGTTGGGTTTTCTTTCTTCGAGGATTTTTCTGTTGGGTATAAGTTTGAGTTGCCGCCAAACATGCCACTAACTAGCTGCTAATATGCCCCAGCTAACTTGCTAGCTTTTTTGCATCTGTAATGGGTAAGTGCAGATTTATCGTCAGGTGGCTGGATGATGTTAATCTCTGCCACTGGCTCACTTCTTTTGCCAACCCATGCGGTGCTACGAGTATGTAGAGTTTAGATTTACTGGCCCAAATCTGACCTGAAAGTCAGGCCATAAATAAATCAAATTTATTACCTACTTATATTTATTACCATGTATGAATTTTATAAATATTGTTGTCTGAGCCATCACTTTTTGTGTCTATTTGTACTACTGATGTGCCTTGAAATTGCACTTTGGGGACAAATAGTTGTTTGAATTTGAATACAGCCCAGAGAAAACCCAACATGAATGCAAAATATTAAGTTATTACTCATTAAACTACTTATTATAGCTTAAATAGAGGAAATATGTTAAGGTAATAAAGAAAGTAAGTAGGGCACAATCTGCACACTGCATGCACAAGCGGCTCCGCTCCTATCAGTCACGCATCCCAGAAGATTTGCGCCTGCCTCACCAAGACGTTACAACAAGCGACAAGATGGAGCTGGAAGACATTAAACAGCTAAAAATGGCAGAAGTTACACTGCTTACTCAGGTTATAGTTTAAAAACAAAACCAGTAAAATTATAAATAAAATAAAATGCTGGGTTTGCTTCAGGCCTATAATTAAAATTAATCAGTCGGGTTGGATCGGGCTCAGGCCTGGTTGAGTTGAATTCTTCTGGCCCAATCTAAACTGTATGTGTTCTGTGCAAAAAGGTTTGGCACTTTGGGTGCTAAGGCTGCAGAGAGCCGTATGCAGTGTGAGAAGCACAAAGCTGCTGCCAAGAGTCACAAACAAACCCCAGAAATGTCTCAGTTTTGATGTGGTGGGGCCAGAGCTCCCCAGAAACAGTCAGCGCTGCCACTAGCGCTGATCTAGCAGCAGCATTTGGTGTGAACCACACTCTGAAGTGGAAGGTTTAGTGGATTTTAAACACAGAGATCGAGCGCTAGTCTTAAATTTCAGTCGTAATGAACTTAAGAAGTCTTAAATTTGAGTTGGTGAAACACGAGGAACACCAGCAGCGCTAAAGTTCACAAATTTCCATTTTGTATTCTTGTCTTTATTGGTCTTTGACTCGCCTATAGACAATATTTTTTTCTGTTTTACACGATGATGTGAGAAACGGTGTTTCTGGGCCTGCAGCCAGCTGCTGGTTAGCTTTGCTCTCTGAGGTTTGACAGAAAGGGGAAAAAAAACGGCTTGTGACTCTAACAGTCTAATTTAGCTCTAATCTTCCAAAGCGTTGCAGATTTTTCTCTTCCAGAATTTGCTTAATTTGAACTTAAAGAAACCGGGTTAAACGCACGGTGCTTTCAGGAACTTGCAGACATCTTACCGGGATGCTCAGCGGGTCAGAAACTGTTGCAGTGAATGCTGGTTTTTCTCTCAGTGCATGTCAGAGTGCTGGTGTGTGTGTGCATGTGTGTGTGTTTGCACATTATCTCAGTGCGGTGTTTAGCTGTGTGTGCATGATGTGTGCTGATCTTAGCAGCTCCTGATTGTCCTCCTGATCTCTGCTCTGCAGTTTCTGGCTGACGAAGACAAAACTGTCACTAACCCCTGTCTTCTTCTTCTTCTCTCTGTTTCGCTCTCCTCCTCTCCTGTTGATCGTCTCCTTTTCTCCTTCCTGACTCCCTGTCCTCCCTCACCTCGCTGTCAACTCGTCCAATATCTCCTTCCTGGCATTTTGCACCGTCATCCGCTCGTCTTCCTTCCCGTGTTTGCTTGCCGTCCTGCTCCGCGGTGACTCCCGTTTGGCGATGTCGTCCGCTTGTCCTGTTTTCGCCACACTGCCTTTGTCGTTCGTCCATCGTCATGGTGACCCCGGGTTTTCTTTGCTTCCTTTACGAACTCTGTGATCCTTTTTTTTTTTCCATTTTCAATTTGCTGTCCTCACCACCTTTTTGACAAATTTTGCTTACTTGTCCGATTCTTCATGGTCCTTTTGTTTCACTAAACATCTTCTCCTTCCTGTTTGATTTCGCTCATTCTCCTGCCCTCCTCCCTCTTGTCCCTCTCCCTCTCTCTGCCTCCTCTCTGTCCCTTGTCCCTTTTCCCTGTTGCGTCCTGATGCAGAATGGAATGTTCTATACTAGTTATGTAAGTACTTATCTCTGTTTAGTAAGACAAGTCCCAACGAGCCTCTCAGAAATGTCTGCTTATCCTCCTCATCTTTCCCCTCCTTTACCTCCCTGTTGCTCTCGTTTTCCCCGGAGACACTTGTTGGAGAATTTTGACTCTTGCTTTCTGCTCAGTTTCTACAAATAACTTCCCCGTGTCTGAGCTGCACAAGCCGACAGTGTGTGCTCTAATTTTCTAAGCACTAATCGAGCTTTTCAGCTCTGCTGTTTTAGCCTCTCTAATCAGACTTTCTTATAAGTTTCTTTTGTACTTTGCCTGCTATTTTGTTCATTTTAAAAAAAAAATATGTACAGCCTTATGTACAAGAAATGTAGAGAGAGATCAGATTAGGTCATTTCTGAAGCGTTTGGTTTAGATTCATTAGATTTCATTGAGGAGAATCAGAAAAAAAGAAAACCTGTTGCACTGCTTTTGGTTTATACTTCTAAGGAAAAACTATAAAGAGATGAGGCACGACTCAGTGCATCTCCATCCTGCTGCACTTTTAACGAGAAAAGGCCAAATCAAATGCTGACGAAGGACCAAATCAGCCTTTAACCGACACAGACGGTTCAAAACAACTTCCATAAACACTCGTCGTCGCTTGCAGAAGGCTTGAGGAAAACATCACAGGTAGCAGAGCAGCAATTAAAGCAGCTGATGAAATGCTTGCAGCAGAGACTCTGGCCAGAAAGTTGCAACAGTCTCAGCTGGAGACGCGTCTCGCATTTTAAGTTGGGGAGCCTGGAAAGCGTCTCGCTCATTTAACCGTCCCACTTAGCCTTGCAGGAGGCTAAGTGGGCTGAAAGTCTGGCTGCGGAGAATCAAAGGGAAGAAGGGGGGGGAGCTGCGCAGCGCGCACCTCGAAACCTGGCATAAAGGAGGCAGAAACGGGCAGGTGAAGAATAAAAATGAGTCACCGAACGAGAATACGGAGACGGATGAGGGCGAAGCGGCGAAGGCCGACAGCTGTGCGCCAAGACAGATGGACGCCAAGAGTGAGGGAGAGTCTGAAGCTGTGCATAAACGAATTCTCGTTTTGTTTCCCCCCCACTCAGGCGTTTCTGTCATGTTTTGATTTGGGGAAAACAAAAAAAAAATCAGATAAATGAGACGGGGCGGTACGACTGAGAGACAAATGTGAATTAATGAGAGATTAAACTGCAGGTGACAGGAAAGTCGACTTAATCTGTTTTAAATACTCCAACTTCTGAACTAGCGGTGAGTTACTGAGCGGGCGATAAATGTATATTTGATGAAACAGAGTCGGAATTGGGTCTTTTTTTTTGTTTTGTACATCTGAGACAGATTGATCAGGGGGGGTTGAGCAACAACTGGCTCTCCAGGGTCACAACTACAAGTATATACCGATCAATCGGATTGATTGCCTCCTAAGATGGGTTCACAGCTTCACCTCGCCTGGTCTGAAACCTTTTTATTCCTTTAGATCTCTGGGAAGAGAATCACTCCTTCTGCTTATCCTTCCTCTAAAAGTCAATTGAAAGCTCTGATAGTAGATAAGTCTATTGAGAACCTGTCCAAAACCCTGCAGAACGACAGTAATGCTTTTCATCTGTTCTTGTTCTGCTCCTGCCATTAAGGCGGCGCAGCCTTGAGTTTGAAGTCTGTGCTTTGCGGGATCATTCCTTAAAACGAGCTGAAGCTGATGAGCACATAGTTATGCAGACGTGGTCTAATGTGATGTAAAAATGTTAAGTCTTTTATTGTATAAGCATACATTAAAAAACAAAACCTCTAATTTGAATAAATTTATTCAGCAAAGGGGAAAAATCTCTTAGGAAGATTTGGTTTTGAAAAATCCCAGGCACATCCTGAAAAAGTCTTAGATGTGTGTTACCCAAATTTAGACCTTAAAATGTCTGAAATGCACTTTTAAAAGTAAGTTGCTCTTCAATATGTTGATCACAAGTCTGAAATGTTCTCTTGACAAGACTTTATAAATTATATATTCTATTTATTTATTTTTCTCGCTGAACTTTTCTGTCAGGCAGAAGTTTGAGTCGCACTCAGACATCTACAAAAAAGTTAAATACATTTATTTTGCCTAGTGTTGAAGACACAGGTAACTAACTGCTCCACATATTTCCTGTTGCCCCTGATATTACCGCAGTAACACAAAGCAGGATTGTAATTCGATAAAGCGGTGCTGGCCGCAACGCGCTGCAAATTATTTAGCCGCTTTTTATGGACAGATCCGCCATCTTAAGTAACTTCCACTTAGTTTAAAACATTGACTAAGGAGCTGATGCAAAAACAGCAATTAAAGGATAATGCTGGTGCAGTTTTATTTTTCCCCCATAAAAGCCTAAACTTTACCGTGGCGACGCTTTAATTACTGTAATCCATCATTTTATGTCGAGAAATAAAGCAAAACATGACTTTCCGGAGCAGCTAATTACTTTGTACAATGGAAATATTGCACTGTTCTCATTCCTAGACTATATTTTTTCTAAAAAAAAAAAAGAAAAAAAAAAAAAAGAAACATACTAATTTCTCAATCACAAATCAGCAGTTTTGATGCAGAAAGGCGTTGCTTCCAAAGCAGCAGCTGTACATCGCCATGGTGTCGAACAACAGGAAGCCCGCTCAGGTGCGGCGGATTGGATTTGCCCTGAACATGGCAGAAAGCAGAGCGCGGCCTCATTGTGCCTCTCCTTTTGAAGTGGTGGGAATGATTGCTCACAGCGGGCATCCGCTAAGTACTTTAGCTTCTCGCTGTGCCGCTGAATGTACACATACTCGAGCTTTAAATGATTTGTCCTTTCACAAGCTGGACACTTAAGGGTTCTCAAGCCGAGTCAGGTTTTTGTGTTCTTTGTACGTTTTTTTTTTTTTTTTTCTTTCTTTCTTTCTCCAGACAATTGAGATGAAGCAGGTTGGTTATTTTCTGAGATCAACTGTTTGTTTTTGTTTTTTTGTTCCAGGCTCCAGCGCCAATGGCTTTCCCCATGACCACACCACAAGTGCCTGTGTATGGAATGGTGAGTGTTGCACAGAAAGAGTGACTTTCCTTTCATATTTGGTTACGTTACTTTACCAGGATATCTGCAGGTCTCAGCAAGTCAAATTTAAGGCTTTATAAGACATTTTTTAATGCCAATTTGAATGAAATTTAACACCAAGCTAAAAAACTACAAATATATATAGGATGATGGGGGGGATCCAGTTGGCAACATGAAGTGAGCCAGTCCCAAAAACTAATGTCATCCAACCAACCAGTGATACATTAGCATCTAATTCTTAGAAGATGCAAAAAAAATAAATAAAATAAAAAGGCTAGCTAGCAAGAATATATTGGCAGCTAGTTACTGGTAGCCTGGAGTCACAGACTGCAGTGAAGATAGATGTTTGTGCAAACTTTTGCCTGACAGAAATTGCATGAAAGATTAATTAGTGCTGCCACAACAAAATTTAAGACTTATGACTACCCCATTTAAGGATGACTTACATTTTTTTTAATGATTTTAAGACATTTCAAGGCCTTAATTTTCGATGGACTCGATCCTTTTTCAGGATGTCCACATTACACATTAGACTTATCAGAATTTTGTGTGATGTGCTTTTTTGTAAATGTGACGTAGATTTGCATTCAGTCAGCTTTTCTGAGTCAATCATTTGTAGAGCTACCAGTTGGAGTTACAAATTTGGCCTTTGACTAGGCCATAAGAACACATCAGTGTGACCTTTCCATTTAACTCTTGCTGTGCGTTTGGGGTTGTATTTCTAGAAGGTGAACCTTTGTTGTTGTTTTTTCATGGTTACCCTGAATTTAATTCCAGCCATTTTCCGGTGATCTCAGACCAGTTTGGGTTTCACCATTACAATAGTGTCATTGTGTTTTTCTAACTGTGTGTTTGTGTGTGTGTGTGTCGTGGCTCTCCAGGTCCCTCCCCAGATGGCTCAGATGGGTGGGGTACCTGTGATGGCTCCACAGCCGATGATGTACAACCAGCCTGTTCTCAGACCCACCAACCCTTTCGCGCCCATGCCAGGAGCCCAGGTAGCTGCCACCAACTCCTGCACAGTGATCGGCTTCTTTTCAACTGATTTCTGGACAAATTAGGAAAATAAAGCTTCAATCTGTTGAATTGTTTTTTTTTTTTAAATTTCTGCTTGTGCAAATAGTTTTACCTGTTTTCCTCTCTTTGCTTATGGGACTGTTAAAATCCTGTGGATTTCGTTTTAATTTCATTTTTCTGTCCTCTCTCTCGTCCTATTCAGATGCAGTTTATGTAATCCATTCAGGGGGAAGCTGAGTGCCAAAAGCGAAAAAAAAAAAAAACTCACGAGAGGACGATCGAACGGAGGGAGGAACGATTTGATCAGGCGAACGAAGAGACACAGACAAGCTGACCGACAGACACCAAAACAGAAGGAGGCGATGAGGGGCGGAGGGGGTGGGACTCTGTTCCGGCTGGAACAACTGCTGTTGTGTGTGTGTGTGTGTGTGTGAAGCTTCTCTGTGTTTATCATTTGTGTTTTAAATCGTGCAGACGGAGGGATGGGATGGACGGACGTCTGGCTTTCACCCAGCCTGTTCGGTTCGGTGTCTGGATCCAGAATTAGCTTTATTTCAAACTGGTGCTATTTTGTCCTCTCTGAGTTCCTGTCTACCTGCAACAGCAACTTGGGAGCACTTGTAAGAGGACGTGTGTGTGTGTGTGTGTGTTCGCAGCAGCAGTTGTTCCAGGTAATACAGCCTCTCCTCCCCCCTGAGTCTCTGTTTGTTTTCAGAGAGAAACGTAGAGGCACATTTTCTCAAGTATGTTTCCTGTAATTTTCCAATCCGTGTATTTTTTTTTCCCTTCTGTTTTTTTTTTTGCCTTTAACGTTATCAGGGCTTGTACAGCAGTTTGTCGGAGCGTCAAACAGTAGCTGAGCGTTTTCTCCTCATGGCTTCTTAAGCTCTGCCGCTCGCACATCCAGACGGGAGATCGACGAAACGTCGGGACGAAAAAAAAATAACATAAATTTGTCTCAAGGGCTCGACCCACCAGGGAAACGCAGCAAAATGTGTCCAGATGTTGCGGAGATTGTTGACTTACAGCTGCGTCGTGAAAACTGCTGGAAACCTGCCAGTCTGTGTGCTTCTAGTCTGCTCAAGGGTTGGGTTCTTCACGTACAATGTCACATGAAACTGATTGAATTTGACCCTAAAAGTAATCAATGAAGCTGTGTATATAAGCAAAAAAAAAAAAAAAAAAAAACCTTATTTGAGTGTGTAAGTTTTTCTTTTCTTCTCACATGGACTGTTTATCCATCTGTGCAAAGATAGTGAACATTATTATTGCAGTCAGTAGATGCTCAGATTGTGTGTGTCTCTTTAAGTCGAGGGCCTTTGTGTGCATCTTCCTCAGTGATTGATGAGAAACAAATCCAGCACACTGAGGTTACGGCTGTTCTTAAAGGGACATGCGCAGTCTTCTAGTCGAGCAGTAAAGGGATAGTTTGAAATCTTTTAAAGCAAAGTGCCTGTTGAGAGGCTATCTGCAGGAGAGAGTGATACGTTTATATTCTCTGGATTTGAAAGCTAAAGCTAACGTCTGAAACGTACCAAGTTTAAAGCAAAGAGGAAGAAGTCCAACCTCAAACTTCTGAGCGGTTTCTGCAGATGAAGCTTTACATTGGGTCCTTATTTACAGAGAACCATTATTTACATGACAGATTGATAGACAAATACATTCTATATGGGAAGTTCATAAGTCACAAAACACAAAAAAAATACAAGTTGGAGGTAGTGTGCCATTAATAATCTTTAAATCTTCAATTTAAAGTACCTTAAAACCAAAAGTATAACAGCAGTTTAAATGAATGCTACTTTATTGGTTGTCACACTTTTTTTATGTCTGTTATTCTGACAGAAAATTCTTAATGTTCCAACCTCTGTACACGTTTCACACAGGAAGACATTTAGGGGCGCACCACCTCCTATCTCTGCCTAAATATCAGCTTATTTGTAAATAACTACCCAAAGTAAACGCTCATAAAGTAGCGTTCGGATGAGTTATTAACTGGGAAACAGAGCCTCTCCTTAAAAAGCCTGAATGTTCCTTTAAAGAAAGCGTTTTGTTGTTTTTGTTTATCCGTGTTGAATATTCAAAGTATTTTTGGCTGACTAAATTGTTGCTGAATTGCCGATTGAACTGTTGCCACGACAATAAGGATGAAATGTGTATTTTTCTGTCCAGCGGGAATCTGGTCCTGCTTGTGACGGTCGCTAGGCGACCCGCTTGAATCGGTCCAGACTTCTAAAACCAATAGATGCGGCTCCCTTTCAGCAGATCCACATCATGATTGATGATGATGGCAGCGCAGAGCGAGTTTGTTACTGAATCGAGTCGACTTCACTTTCAATTGCACTGAATCAGAGCGAGGCGGGAAGCGCGCCGCTCCACGGTAATGGTGGGAGGGGTGGGGGGCCGCGGCGGGGCCTCTTCAGGCAGAACATCTGTCCTCATGAGTCGTGGCTGTTTGTGCATATTGCACCGTGGGCTGTTCTCACGTGTATGCTTACACATTTTTGTGTACGACTTCTTTTTGTTTGTTTTTTTCCATTGAGGGCTACTTCTGAGGGTCAAATTTTAAGTCGTACTTTAAGCCCACAAGTTTGATACAATTTTTTTTCTTTTTTTTTCTTTCTAAAATCAAAATATTGCAAAAATGCACATGCGAAAAAGTTGCACTGAAGTGGCTAACTCCCAGTAGTAGAGCTGTCGAGGTTTCTTCAAGGATAGAGATTTGTTTCCGTGTAGTTTTGTAGGGTTTAAAGAGCTCTCTCGTCTATCGGCCATTTTGCCGACTAACGTTTCTTTTTTTATTTTTTCCTGCCACTCTAAAGTTGAACTTGAAGCTTTGTGTATTCTCATCAGGGTTCGGCATTCCATCGGTGACGGTCCGGCCTCAAACTCATCGTCCGCTCTGCTGTGAATCCTCCAGAATGTCGCCTCAGTTTTGCCAGCATCGCTGACCTAGTGCTACAGCACCTATTTTTGGCCTGTTTAGTCTGTATTTAGTCTGTGTAGATATGTAAAGTGCTTACAGTTTCTGTGTAGATCGTCCCAGCTGTCGCTGTGGGTTAGACGCTGCTCTTTAAAAGCTTCTCGTCAGTCTTGTGTTAGCTTAGCCTAGCTTCTTCTTATCCCGCCGTAGGTTCTCCCGCTGCGTCCTGTCCTCTCTGCTGGTGTCTACCAAATGATAGCTGTCAGTGTTTTTTCGTCCTTTAGCTGTAGATAAAAAAAAAAAAGTTTCTCTCAGGCTTTTTGTGGTTTGCTTCTCTCAAACTCTTCTTTTCTTGCTACTCGCATTAATCCAGTACTCCAGCATTCTTCCGTTTCTCCATGTCTGTGTCGTTCGTCCCTGATTGGACCTGAACAGCAAAGCACACACACAGATTTTCAGGTTTTTTTGTGACAAATCAATGTGATGAATGATCGTTTTGAAGACCAGCTCTTATCCTTGTGGAAGTTAGCTTTGGCTAAAGGCCAGTGTTCTCAGTTTTCCTCCCTTTTTTGTGTCAGAATGAAGGTAAATATGTAGAGAATGTGAATACTAACGTCTCTGGGAGATGCAGATCTATAACGTGGCCTTATGAACATTTAACGGGATCAAAAGGCTTTTTAAACATGTTGAAATCACTGTTATTGCCTCATGTTGAAGTTTTAAGACCAGATCCTGAAATAAGTGATTATAAATTAAAGTAGCCTACCTGAACTTAGCCAACTTAGCCTATGTGAAATTTTAACTAGAGACGTTCCGATCAAGATTTGTTCCAACAATTAATATACTTTAAATCCTCATCAGCTTTAAAATGCAGAACAATAACATTTCAGTTTAAAGAAAATCACTTCCTGCTTTGGCTGATGTTGATTTTCATGCAGTAGAAGTTTCCTGAAGCTAACTATAGCGTCTTTTCTTGCTGTTGTGATATGGCTTGTTGATAATTCAGCGAGTGATGTATTTCAGCAGGGGTTGATCTCCTGCTTTGTCAACTCGGCGCTTTTGTTTTGGACGTTTGAACATTTCAGCTGCTTTCTGCACAGCTTTCCCTTACCGCAGCACAGAGAGTTGGTCACATTAAACTGATATAGAGGAAGGTATTATCTGACGTAAAATCAGACGGTAATCACGGTTTCTTTTAAAAATGCCTTGATCAGATATTTTGGATCATGTTGGGACAACCTTAGTTATCCTGTTTATGGTTCCACTCACCTGACCTGGGGTGGAAACTTCTGGATGTTTTTAGCCATCTACTGGCTTCTGTTGAGGGCTTTCTCAAAGATGTCATTCAGCATGGTAGAGTTGAACAGTAGCAACTTTTAGTGACCGAAAGTTTGGTTTATGATGAGAAAGACTTCAACTCTGGGTCTTCATGAATTCCCATGAGGTTTTGAACCCTAAAATCTCCTTGTTACAAAGCAGAACGGCTGGCCTCTTGTGAGACTTTCTCCAGACCTTAATGACGCAGCGCGCTTTTCCTCGACTCCAGCAGTTTCTCTACATATGATTGACAGATTTAGCTTTTTAATGTTCAAGGCAGGGGACTGTGTTCTTAGGCCAGTCTTTGTCAGCCAGTAGTTATTACAGTTTTATTGTGTAGGTTTGACTCTCTGGACAGGCTCTCGACTCGGTTTGAGGCTACCTTTCTGGACTCTTAAAGCAGCTGCTGAATCTTTGCGTCGTTGTAGCATGAAGCCAATGCAGAGGAGGATCAACTTCGATGTCAAATCCGAACGTCTGATTTCTGCGATTGTAGCAGATATTCAGAGAGCAGGGTCCACCCTGGCCAGCGGCCGCTCAGTGAGCGCATGGTGTCGTCTTTCTCAGTGTTTTCGTCCTCAAACGCATGACAACGGTGGCGACCTCCCCTCTTGTTGAAATAAGCGGCCCAAACTAGGCGAAGGAACTGATTGATCGGACTCGACCAATCACTCACCCGTCCACGGAACCGTTCGGGCTGAAACCGACACGTTTTCTTTCAGTTTTTTATTTGGACTGTTGATGAATGAGCCAGTACAACGTTGCCAAACTTCTCCGGTGTTCTCCCAAAGAGCTCGCTTTGTTTTCTCCTGCGGCACACGCCTTCCGCCGTTGACGCGGGCGACGTTTGTGGCAGAACCAGAACCCGCCAACCTGAACAAAGAGCGCGCGCGACAGAGAGAGACTTTGATAGATGTCCTCGTCTTGTCAGTGAGTTGGTGTGTTCAAAGATTTCTTCTTCATGCACGCTCAGATATTTTATTTTTTACATTGTTTTTGTTGTTGTTGTTGTTGTTGTTTTTGGTAAACCCCCAACCCTCGGATTGCTGCCTCACTATTCTGTATATAAAGAAACTCACGCGCGACAACGCAGCTTACAGGCATACCCTCATAATCCGCGTTTATTTTCATTTACCCATTTTTATTTTACCTGTACATGAAGATATTAGCGTCCTAAGCAAGCGTGCAGGTCTGACTCCCGCCGTGGTGGGAGCGGGCTGAAACAGACGGACGGAGCAGATCTGGAGGGCTGCGAACCGTCGCCGTACATCAGGATCAGCCGTGACTTCTCAGCGATGCCAAATGTTAATCTGTCTCTCTTTTCTCCTCCGTCTCCTCCCTCTCTCCTGCCCCTCCCCCCGTGTCTTTGTACATTTTTTTTTATTTATTTAAAAGCAGAAATATATGGAGTGTATCGAGCATGGAAAGGCAAACAAATGTTACAGTTGATTTTAAAAAAGAAAAAGGATGGGCTTTTATTTTACAGCAAGTATATTTGTTTATTCTAGGGATTTGGTTCCTCTTTATTTTTTTTCTTTTTTGGAAGAATAAAGTCATTTTCCATTCCTAAACATTTGTCTGGTTTTTTTTTTTAATCTTATCCAATAGTGGAAACAAGAACACAACACATACAATGCATGCTTAGGTTTATAAAATGTGCAATACAATGTTTTTCAAACTTGTTTTTCCTAAATTCAGGCCTTCTGCTTATTCATGCACATTTTGTCACATTACAGCACCAAGCTTTGATCCATTTCATAGAGGATGTATGCGATAGGCTAACGCTAAGTAGCAAAATTTTATGACATAATTTTTAATATTTCTTACAAAATATCTGAAAAGTCCTGTATGCTTTTCTACATTCAGTCGATCATTTATCTGCAGTAGCTGCACGTATCTGTACCAGCTTTGTACATCTTGAGACTAGACATTTGGCTCAAACTCAGACTTTGATTAGACCATCCTAATATATATATGCTTTGATCCAAACCAGATCTGCACATCATCAAAACAAATAAACACTTTGATGCGTCAGAACCTGGATGAGCTGCAATACTTGATAAAACCATAAAGCTGTCCAGCGAAAAATCATGAAATAAAATATCCAACCGTCAGTTTCTGACGTCAAGTAGGATTAGGTCACAACCAGCGCCATCTAATCCACCTCTCTAGGTGGATTAACATCAGTCTGGACCTAGGTGTGATTGAGATGCTGCAGTGAGACTTTAAATGGGCCATTCATGCTTTTGAAACCCTCCAATGTGACTAAATTAAACAATTCTGGAAGGCAGGGTGGATCAAATGAAAAGAAAAGACTAATTTCCAGTTATTCCAAACATCTACTGACAGTTGTTTCTGCTTCAGGTGGTACAACCAGTTATTAGGGTTAGGTGGGGAGCGATCCCTTTTTCCCATGAGAACAGGTTTAGTTAGCCGTTTTCCCCACAATAAACTAAACAAGTCTGTCTGGGAGTTGATATTTTTCACAAGGAAGTATAAATCCTGAACATGACGATACTGATGAAGAAATTTGCCTTAGAAAATGCGCTTAAAAATGAATTATTTGAAAGAAAAATATTCCTTCCCTAAACAACCAAACAAAGAGTCTGTGTTTTTTTGTGTGTTTTTGTTTTAGACCAGTTTTATAGAAATGTCTCTGGATCCAACTGGACATGCAGCGTAGGCAACCACTGCTGTCCATTCGCCAGCACAGCAGATGGTTACCATGGTGACTGAATGATGACTGGTGGAGAGACATGTTGAAAATGCCCATCTAAGTTCTTCACAAGAGTGAAAGGGTTAAGTTTTTATAATATACAAAATAACAAAATGCATGTTAGGAAGATCTATTATGACATTTTATGTTTGATTTGGACAAATTGATCTTTTCTGTAGATTGTAATAAATTAGAAGAACTTTGATTTACAAATTGGACTGTATGTGGTTGAATACAAGACACGTATTGGCTTTTGCAGTTTTCATATAGCTTTAAATTAAAATCAAAATCTTCAACTGAATTAAGGTCCAAATTAATTTATTCAAGTTGTTTTTTGGGGGGTTAAATATCCCAAAAGCAAAAAGCTTTTATCATGTTTTAAAAGTTTCACAATTAACTGAGCTCACACCAAGTATTAAAAAAAACGACCCTGCATAATAAAACTGTTGTAAACGATGGAGCAGCTTCACTGCCACAACACAATGGGCTGGTCTGAAGAAAACACTTCACTCAGCCGTTTTACAATCGGCAACAGAACGGCACATTAAGTTTCTGTGGAGAGGACGCCTGTGACCCGTCTCCTCCGGCCTCGGCTGTCCGCCACGCTGCGCTTCACTTGGCTGAGCTTCACACAGGAGAACAAAACAGCTGAAACCTGCACGACAGAATGAAACCGGCTGCACACCCGCCTCTTTGTACGCCGTCACGAAAAGAAACTGAGCCGTCCTTTTCAGGTTCCCATCTCAGTTTAAGGCGTCCAGATCAGATCAGCTCTGTCGCATCCTTGTTTGTTTTGTGTATATTTGTGTATGTAATCTCCCGCTGTAAACCTGGGAACACGTCTGGCTTTTCTGTTATTCCAGCAACACTTACACAGTGAGGGATTAAAACGGCTTCCTGACAGATGAGGCTGTTTGTCTGTCTGTTTCTAGTGTGACGCATCCGGCCTTATTTCAGTGTTTGTGACTGGACGCCTTAACAAAAGGGCCCGTCCCTGCAGCGGTCGTGTGCTGACTGAATGCTCTGACCTCCTCCATAGGCTGGTAGTTTATCTGTGAGTCCAGGATAAAACACACTAATCACTCATAACACAACAGCCACTGACAAGTACTGCTTCAATAGGTTCTCCTGGGAAAACCTGCATCCTGACTTTCTCATGGATGTCGCCACCAGCAGAGCCTTGAGCCCTTTTTCTCATTTTTGTCCCGTTTCAACCTCAAACGTCAGTGTATTTTATGAGGGCCTAAGACAAAGTTATGCTTAACCGTGTAGAGAAAGAAAGGTTGTATTTAACATTGTTCTAACAAAACCTTACAGGTGGATCAACCAAAGGGAAAAGGTTCTTTAACGCAGTGTAGTCACAAACTGCGGCCACTCTTTTAACATGAACGAACTGGCAGTAGCGTAAGCGACGCTTTTAGATTCCTGTCACAAAACATGTTTCCACTAGTCCTAGAAACTAGAATTAGTTTCTAGAACCCGCAGTCCCCCCCAATAACTAAAACTTGCTTTAATGTAGCAACTCATGAGTTTGATAAGAGCAATTTTTAAGCATGGCGCCATGCCAGTCTCCACCACTGGATGGCGGTAATGCATCCATCGCTTGATTAACCAGCTCTAGGAGAACTTGCCTGTCTCTAAGATTCAAAAGCTGAGAAATATTTAAAATAAAAAAATAGATGAAAAACTCCCAAATCACACAGCTCTGCCCAAGAGAATGGAGACAATCTCTTGGGTCCAAGAGAATGGAGACAATCTCTTGGACCCAAGAGATTGTCTGCCCAAGAGACAATCTCTTGGGCAGAGCTCATGACTTCTGGATTAAAGAGTCTAAACTTGAATTATTTGGAGATCAGAAGAGAGAACACCTCACCTCCTTAGCAGCTGCGAAGCACAGGAGTGGAGATGATTTGCTCCACCATGAAGTCTTCTCCGTATCAGAGGGCGCTTGAAGAAAACCCTAGACTACCTGTGAAAATGTCAACTTTCACAGAAAGAAAGAATTGGACCCTACAACACGACAATGACCTAAAACGTACGGGTAAGTGGTTCCTCACCTAGAAACCACTTTCCTGTTGACATATTAGGTTTAATAAGTGGATTGTTGACATTGTGCTATTTTTCTTTCCAGGAGTACGCATTCATAATGTGTATTTTCTAAATAACGTCAACAAAACCCCAAAGGGAGAACATTTAAAGCTCTACAGAGCCTAACTAGGAGGAGTGTTGGATCAGGCTCAATGCGGTCTCTTTTCAGCATCCTTCCTTTGGACTTGGTGACAGCTAGAACAAACGCATCTCGGAGTTTCTTTAACAGGTTAAAACCTCAGAAGGCTCGTCAGTTCTCTGATGTGACGCTGATCCAGGAGGAGAAAGTGACAGAGATCCAGAAGCTGTCAGCCTCCCCGCGGCAGCCACTGGCTCCGTCACACCAGGCCCGTCTGCGGCAGCCGATGTCGACCCCCGCCTTCAGATAAGTTGTGACAGCTGTAAATTGAGAGGGGGCGAGTGGAGGAGAGGAGGGAGCTGCTATTTTTATCTCCCATTCAACCGGGTCGAGAAGCCGTCTCTCTCTCCGTCTCTGCTGAAGGCCGTCGGACCTTCTGGATCTCTCCTTTCTGCCTCAGCAGAGAACCTTCTGGAGACCGGGACGCGGCATTAAGACCAGCAGACCCTTGGCAGTCGGGGGAAGGATTTCAAAGCAGAGATGAACAGATTGTAAAGACAGGGAAGAAGACGTCAAGAGACACCAACAGGCCCAACATGGCTCTGCTGTGCTACAACAAAGGCTGCGGGGAGAAGTTTGACCCCGACAAGAACAAGGATGGTGAGCTCCTTCTGCCTGGTTCGGTTGTTCTCTGCCGTTGACTTCGTAAAGAAGCTCTGATCTTTTCTGCTTCTCCTACTTGAGCCATCACAAAGTTTTCAAGTTATCCTTTTCGCTGAAGTCAAGCACATGTGACCATGCTTGTGTTTTTTTCTGGCTTTGATGTTCAAATTAAATAGAAATTGCTGGTAGGAAGTAGGAATATGCAAGGACTTTATAAACATGCAGACATGTAAAGAGCAAGTGTTTGTATTGAATTTTGTTGGAAAACAGAAAAGCAAAAAACTAGAGTGTGAGGCATGCAGCCACGTTTTTGTGGGAGGACTCCAAGGCCTGGAGATCCTTATATGGGACATCCATCACCTCTACACAGCCNTGCGTGTGTGTGTGTGAGCCAGGTTTTCATATCCTTGTGGGGACCTACATGACACTGTGGGGTTGTGGGGACCACTGCTCCTTGTGGGGACATTTTCTTGGTCCCCATGAGAAAAAATGCTATCTTTGGGTTTGGTGATAGGGTAAGGGTTAGTGTTGGGGTTAGGCTGTAGAAAATGAATGGAAGTCAATGTAAAGTCCCCACAAGTCATGAAAACACAACTCCTTTTACAGTGTGTGAGTGTGTGTGTGTGTGAACAGCTGTTGGGTCCTGCTGACTGTGTGGGGAACTATATGCAGACTAACATTTCCCTGCTTGTACCCTTTCCTGAAACAAACTTCTAGAAAACCTCAAAGTTGCTGAAACACTGAGTTCCTTTAAATCAAAGCTAAAAACCCACCTGGAGCATTGATCAACATTTCTGAGGTGTATTTGCTTTATGATTTTGATGATGACAAAATCTAATGTTTATTGCTTGTTTCATAATTGGTGACTGCATGATGTTTTTATGATTTGAACTCCCTTCTACAAATAAGCTTGTCTTCCCTCCCCAACAACAGATTCCTGCCTCTTCCATCCAGGAGTCCCCATCTTCCATGACGCCCTGAAGGTGAGCCGATTTCCAGGGCCGCGCTGTTGGTCCACAATGTAAACAGCATCACTCCACGAATGTGTGTCTGTTTTCAGGGTTGGTCCTGCTGCAAGAAGAGGACGACGGACTTCTCAGAGTTTCTCTCCATTAAGGTATCAAGGAAAAAAAAAAACACTTAAGATTTGGAGTATTTGGAGAGTGAGCAAACAAAGCTATCAGGAGATGTTCAGCTCCTTTTGATGAAACTTTAATCAAGCAGATGGGGGAAAAAGAAAAAAAATCCGCTGGAGAAACACTGTTTCATGTAAAAAGAAGTGAGAGAAAAGTGTTTTTGACTTGCACCAATCGGGGAACAGCGGAGCGATGAAATGCACCGCATGCTCCAGTGAAACCAGTGGATTATTCTAAAAAATAAAACAAACAAAAAACACTAATAAATATTTAAGAAAATATTTGTTAGTGAACAAACTAAATTAAACCAACTAAATTTAAGGGCTATTCCACTTGTTTTTTTAAGGAATCTGAAATCTTTGATGATCTTAAGTTAAAAATGTGAAACATTTAGACTGGTCAAAGCTAAAATGTTTTATTCATCGCTGAACAGAGTCCTTATTTGTGGAAATAGCCAAAAAAAAAAAGAAGCATTTTTAAAGTTTCATGGTATTAAATGGAAATAAGAGACAAAACTGCGGACTAAAACTGAACAGACTCAATGAGTCTCCGCAGATGACAAAAAATAGCTACGTTTTTGCTGACACATTTGCTGCTTTTGCAACATTAAATGCATTTCTTTAAAACACTTTTAAATGGCCTTTCGTTCAACCGATAAACTGTTGGATGATTTTGGGTCCAACAAAATTGTCCAACTATCCAGTGATACTGCCACCGCCAAGTTTCTGATGAACTTTACATTTATTATCGGCAAAAAACTCCATGTTTGAATGCAACAATTCTATTTTCAAATGACTTACATTTACCAAGGACTAAAGCTACAGCATATGTGACGTCATAGCAGAAGAAATCAGTAATTAATCGTTTTTATCCTTTAAAGTCAGACTGAAACATTTAAGTTTGACCAAAGGAAAAAAAATAATAATTTCACGGTCTTCTAACTATTGTTAATCCGGATACGTTCACCCGCAGGGCTGCACCCGTGGGCGCCACAACGACGTGAAGCCCCAGGAGCCCCTGAGGCCCGAGGTGTCGTCCGATAAGAGCGAGATGAAACCCGCCAGCGACCGGGAGATCATCTACCAGGGCCCCAAATCTGTCGAGGCGCTGCAGAAAGAGAGACCCAGGTGAGGGACGGAGCTTCCACCCTGCAACACTCTGAGGTGTTTTCAGTTTGCTCAGACATCATCCAGAGAGGTCAGGGTGAGGTCGGCTGCAGCGTACGCAGTGTGATAAATAATTCTCCGTAAGCCTATCCTGTGTATATTTCACTGTTAACAGAAGTGTGTGTGTGTGTGTGTGTGTGTGTGTGTGTGTGTGTGTGCGTTTGCTTGTAATACCTTGTGGGGACGATTTTCCTGACATATACTACGTTGTGGGGACCAATCGCTCCTCGTGGGGACCGGAGCCTGGTCCCCACGAGGGGAAACCCTGTTTTTGGGTCAGGGGTCAGATTTAGGGCTAAGGTATGAATTGAGGTTTGGTTAGGGTTAGGGTTAGGTATGTGATGGTTAGGGTTAGGAAAAGGGTAAAGGTAAGGTTTAGGCTGTAGAAATGAATGGAAGTCAATGGAAAGTCCCCACAAAGAACACAAACATGTGTGTGTGTGTGTGTGTGTGTGTGTGTGTGTGTGTGTGTGTGTGTGTGTGTGTGTGTGTGTGTGTCTACACAGTTCAAACCAGCCCATGACCAAGTTGCCCCACAAAGTGTCAGCATCTCTCGTTCAGGCGCTGGAGAAACTGGGACTGGACAGGAGCGCAGAGAGCGAGAAGAAAGGTCAGTCCTCCTGAAGGCGACTTGAAATTCTCAAGAGAACTGGGAGCAAAAATCCACATTTCAGCCTTAAAACATGAGCTGTCACATCAGAGCTGGAGATTAAAGCACTGCTTCAGTTTCTCAGCTCCATTTCTTTTAAAGGAACGAGGATCATCATGTTAATGTTGATTGAATCCAAATCTTTGCTCAAGTTTTAGAGCACGGTGTCCACACATCTGTAAAAAGTCTTCAAATTAAGGCTTTCAAATGTCTTAAAAGCATTGCAAAATATATAAGTAAGTTGGTCTTACTTTTTCTCGTGACAGGACTAATTTTGTATATTCTAAGGTTTTTTTTTTCTTGCTGGACTTTTACTTTTCTGTCGGGCAAAAGTTTGAGTCACAAGCAGGCATCTTTATTACAATACGTGAGTCTGTTGAGCCTCAACAGCCTCAACATGAGGCTGTTGAGGCTAGCGCTAACGAGCTAACTAGAAAGGGTAAATTTATCACCCGTTTGCTCTACGACGTATGTCTTTGCCACCGGTTCACTTCTGTTGCCAGCTATGAGCATTCTGTGCAGATAAGCTACCAAAAAATGCAGTTTTCTTTTGTACATTTCTGTTTTGATACAGGTGTTAAATTTCATTCATAATAGCCTTAAAAGGCTACTACAAAGTTTTTTTTTTTTTACCATGTTAGAGAGCATCTTGAATGACTAAAAAAATATAGCAATTCTTTTTTTTTTGGATCCTGAGACATGCTCTGAATTTTACATTCCTTATGCAATTTGACAAAAGTTCTTACTTACTAAACTGCTGAAACAAAAGGCTGGAAGACAATAAATCCTGCCACAGATTCAGAGCTAAAGTTTGCTCCTTTGGTATTTGTATTTTATTTCTACATTTCACTCTACAGCTACATATTTTTTGATAGAGCAACACAAACTAATGAATAACTGTGAAGTTCAATGTAGTATTTTATATTCTGCTGAAGAGGAGCATTCAGTCAGCATTATCCTGCCACCGCCATGTTTCAATGGCGATTCTGTGTTCGGATAAATGTGTGGTGTTAGCGTTTCGCATGTAGCATTGAATTTCCACAACTAAAATTTTTGTCTCTACTTTGAAAACTATATAAAAAATATATACTGTTTTCTATAAACATTCCAATAAGAAAAATACATCACTCCTCTTTTGTACATATGTACATATTTTTTATTTTAAATTCTAACACATAACATGGTTCTTTAAAAATGACATCTAGTTTTGCTAAGTTGTCTTTATTTTCAAACATGTGTGGCTCTAAACGGCTTCCTTTAGCTGGGCCGAAGGTAAAATGGTTGCTGTTTGTTCTCTATCAAACCTCTGAGGCCTTGACTGAACAGCTGCACTTATATCAAGACTAAATTACACACACAATTACTAATCAGTTGCCGTCTGAAGGTAATCATTTGCTTTAGACTTTATTTGCAGGTGTCAAAGTGAAGCGGCCGAATACAAATGTGCGCCACACTACTTCTGGAATTATGTCTAGTTTAGGCAGTATTAATACGTCAACACTGGATTTCATTCGTAATTCAACAGTATAGTTCAGTCCTATCCTTCAACCCAACTCTTTATTATTCTGCACCTGTATGCTGAAACATCCCTACATCATTTTTCTCAAAGACAATGTGTTTGAAACTGGAATGAAACAGTCCTCACCTGTCTCTCTGTCGTTGTTTCGTCTCACAGAGAGTGAGGACGTTATGCACGGGACGCGCTGCAAGAACACAGGCTGCAAAACAGTGAGTGTCTGGTGTGTTTCTGTGTGTGTGTGTGTGTGTGTGTGTGTGTGTGTGTGTGTGTTTAGGTAGCGTCTCTGGCATTCCTGCCCAGGCCCAAAATAGTCACTGATCTGACATCAGCAAAAGCTGAGAAATTCATTATCTACAGCGGTGGCTGATGTCTGCACATGGGAGGAAACTGCAAGAACTGCAGAATGCAGTGATTTCACATTAAGACTTAATATTGGCACTGAACTATACTTGAATTATTTTAATTAAATATCAAGGCAATGTCTGTCTTTATAGCCTTCTTTTACTGAGCTCTGTTTAAATTTCAGTGTCAAGCAGTCAAGATCAAGTCAAGACTTTTAGGGACTGAGACCACTGATGTGTATATTATATAATTATGATATAATTATGAGTCAAGACCAGTGCTCCGCTCTAATAGGTGACGTTAGCTTGTAAACAAAGCTAGCTAGCGTAATGTGACAGCTGTCAAGAAACGGAAGTCTAGCCCTACAGCTTACAATATGCTGTACATAGGTAGCTAACTTAATAGCTAACGTAATATGTATAGCAAACATTGACTAAATCTCTTTGTATGATGGCCGGGTAGAGAGTTTTGGTGCAGAGGCAGATTGCTAACGTTAGCTTAGCTAGCATCGCTAGCACATCTTAAACGTACCTCTCGATACGATAAAAGTTTGTCCTCGTCCCCACAGTCTGAGAGGTCGCTGTGTACTTTCTTCTGGATGTTGTTTTACAAATAAGCAGACTTTATGATTTAGCAGCCAAAACTGTGTTGACTTCCTCCCGCTCCTATGGGGACGGTGACAGCGGCAACAAAAATATATTAGCATTGAGTCACGTTATTGCTTGGATATGAATCTGCACTCTTCCTTTTTACTTATTAGCATGAAAGAAAGCATGCTAATAAATAAATTGAAAGATGTTCAGACAATTTAGTTATATTTCCACGTATTGAAATAAAATGTATGTAGTCCTCCTGAATGTATGAAACCTAGACAAGACCAAACGCGAGACCTCAGGTCTGGAGTACTTCTAGAGAGAGCTGGTTTTACGAAGTTTTGCAACATTTGTAAAATACAAAATCAAACCCATTAATCACTCTTATATTGACACAGTTTTGAACCCCTTTGTGTTGATCTATCATAAATCTCTAAACCGCAGTGAGGTTTCTGGTTATGACGTAAAGAAAACGTGAAATAAATTTGTAGATTTTTTTTATCTACAAATGTTTTCCTCAGCTAATCAACAAAAATGTGTATTAATAGTTAAGACGTTTTTACCAAAGCACACACAGGTCCTATTAAATACCGCTATACAGGAAAACACAAACACTGCTGTGCTTCAACTTGCTTCCTAAGGCTTTTGAACCTGTAAGGTTTAATTGCTCCATCTAGTGGACATATCTAGTAACAGCAACATCTTTCAGTGACATTTTAAATTAACTGCTGGTCTCAAAGTAGACCACTGGAACTGCACAAGCCTGTAAGATTTTCAGGTTTATGGAAAGGCGTAGTTGGTCTAAAAATGCACATCTGGATTAGAAGTTTGTAGGTCAAACACTCCTGATTGCTGACCTTATCCTGTGACTCAGGATTCATTGATCAAAGCATCTCTGATCAATAGCGATCATAGACCTGATCTGTTTGTTCAGGTCTATGAAGGCCCAGACACAGACACGGAGGTCTGCACCCACCACCCTGGAGCGCCCGTCTTCCATGAGGGGTAAGAAGGAAAGAATTCACCGCTGCGTGTTCCCCTCTTGTTTGCTCAATGTCTAATCCATTATTACAACATCATAATATTTGCATGGCTCTGCTCTCAAACAGCAGCTACATGGTTTCTATAAAGCAAGAGTGTTAACAGTGTGAAGGTCGTGAGAGGAAAGCAAGAAAGGAGGCGGCTGAAACGAGAAAAAACATTTCTGGAGCCGGTTCCACCAACTTAAATTTAAGACCTTTGAAGATCATTATTAATGACTTTTAAGGCCTATATTGCCATCATTTCATCCAGCCAACTGCATCCATCCATAATAGATGGGGGAAAAAAGCTAACTAGCTAGTTAATCAGCAGCTAATTAGCAGTAACCTCAACCATCTCAAGTCAAAGAATGCAACTAAATTTTCTTTGACAGAAAAGTTCTAGGAGAAAAAAAATCATACATATGCGATTAAATAGTCCTGACAAAATAAAATGTAAGTCCTGTGATTAACATATTAAAGGCCAACTTGCTTTTTAAAAATTAATTTAAGGCATTTTAATACCTTAATTTCAGATACATGAATCTAAAACTTTGAGGAAGTGAGTTGCTTCTGGTGTTCTTCTTTCTCCGCATCAAACTACAACGATTTCTTTATCTAGGTACAAATACTGGAGCTGCTGCTGCATAAAGACAACAGACTTCAACGCGTTCCTGGACCAGAAGGGCTGCACCACGGGGAAACACCGCTGGGTTGCAAAGCAGGTACACACACCACCTACATCTGAGCAGAAACAGGCAGAAGCTCTGTCTCTGTGAATAATCTTTTATTTTTTTATGTTCTCAGGATAAGAAGAAAGTGGCATGTCGACATGACTGGCACCAAACTGCAAACACGGTGGTGGTAACGATTTACGCCAAGAACTCAAATCCCGATTTCTGCAGCGTAGAAGCAAATCCAACAGTGGTGAGCAGCAGGAATAATCATTCAGTGTTGATACAGAAAAAAAGAAAAAGAAAAGAAAGGCCCAGAATTATTCATGAAATCAGATCCATGAACTTTTATGGAGTTTCATTTCTGTTTCCTGTCTTGCAGCTCATATGTCAAATCCAGTTTGAGAACAACAAGATTTTCAAGAGAGAATTCCACTTCTGGGGGGAAAGTATCACTAGCAGCCTCTGATAAAGTTGTAGTTATTGGCGCAGGCGACCGTTTCTTTAACTAAAAACTGATATTCATCTGCTCTGTAATGATTTTTCAGGTGATCGACGCCAAACAGAGTTCGGTCAACATGGTCCCGTCTAAAGTGGAGATCACGCTCCGTAAGGCCAACCAGGTGTCCTGGGGAAAACTGGAGGACCCGAACTACACCCCGGAGCCGGACCCTGTTAATGACGACGTCGCCGATGACAACCAGGAGTCCCAGCAGCCCGACTGGGACATCGCCGATGACGACATCAGCGACTCAGACGAGGAGTGGGCCTACGACACGCCGCAGAACAAGAGCCAAGGGGTCGAGAGTGAAGAGCAGAGGAAGAGGAGGGAAGAACAAGAGGTGCAGAATCTAAAAAGGAAGGAGGTGGAGGAAGAGATGAAGAGGCTGATGCAGGAGCAGCAGAGGGCGGAGGAGCAGAGGAGGAAGCTGGAGGAGCAACGGAGGGAGGAGGAGCAGGAAGGATATGAAGACATGCCAGACCTGGAAGATCAGGATGCTGATGTGGAGTGATGTGAAAAAAAACAAAACAAACAGAATGTTCCTTATTTTTAGCAACCGATGCTAAATACTCTCATTTTCCTGCAGTAACTTTATATAATATCAGAGGTGTTTTTGAAGAACTTTTTTGTGGGTGATAAAATAAGAAGTCTGTTGAAATCTTTTGATTATGCAAAAGACATAATTATAGAATTAAACCTTTTTTATGTCTGTTTCTCTGTCTGAAGTTCTTTAGTATTTTTATATTGGACAAACTGAAATTCATGAAAATAAGAGTAGCACAGCTGATGTTAATGAACTTTAACGTCATTCTGTACATGAGAGAGTAGCTGTTAAAGGAACGATTCCACAGCTACATGTTAGAAAACACAACTAAACATTGAGACATTATGTAGCTAAATGTCATGTGTTTGGACTTTGGGAGGAAACTGGAGTACCTGGAGAAAACCCACACATGCACAGGAAGAACATGCAAACTCCATGCAGAAAGACTGGGGCCGGGAATTGAACCCACAACCTTCTTGCTGCAAGGCAACAGCTCTACCAACTGCGCCACTGTGCAGCCCTATACATGACATATTTAGTAAAATATTAAGTTAAATATTTAAGAAGGTTATACAAAACTGGGTGTTTTCAGATTTATATCATGTTATTCTGTTATTCCCTCATCAGAAAACATACCTGGAGTGATGCTTTGAGTCTTTCTTGGATGTCTGAGAAATCCTTGAATCCTCCATGGCAACCATTCAGGGGTGCCTAAACACTTGCTCATGAAAAGTGCCAAGGCTCCCAACTCACAGAGCAACTCAGCTCCTGCAAACTAGTGGCAGCAGCGATTAGCAAACACCTGTTGGGCTCATCATACAAACCACAACGCTCTAAGAATGAATGCAAATGGCATCATGGAGAAGTATCATGATTAGTGTTGGAAGCTTCTTAGAGACAGGCCAAACTCAAGGTGTCGGGTATGACTATGATGCAGTCACATTTCTTTTAAGTTATTTTTTACATATACAGCATTTTCATAAATCAGCAAAGCATTAAACATGGCTGCAGTCTGAAAAAGAGAAGTCTAAGTGAGACTTTACGTCCCACACATAATGGAAAGAGTGAAATGATGTGAAGAAGCTGGAAGCTCAATGACTCGGTGCCCTTTATTTGTAAAACAAGCACTTAAGATCTGCAGCTGCTGAGATGTGCTTGGATTGTGGGTCAGCACATTGTTTTCATCAGTAAAGGCCTGCGGTGCATCTGTGAGTCCATCCTACACAGCCCTGCTGGTGGACGGCGCTGAGAGAGCGACAAACGCAACATGCTGAGACATTGTGTAGTAAAAGCTCAATTTAAACAAAAACTGGTGACAAACGGCTTAGTTACACCAAGTAGGAGTGATTCTCTACAGGGGTGTGATTTTAAAAGCTTTAATAATACGAAAAATAGTTTCCGGTTTTGATTGTGTTTGTCGTTAATCAGAAAAACTAAGAGGGCCACAGATTTGGATTAAAGTATGTTCATATTTTAGAGTGGCCCCGATCTCTCTCTACTTAAATATAATTTAAAATCTATGGCTGAGCTTCAAAGTTGATGTTCACAATACGATACAAATAAATAAATACTGGAGTAGCTAGCTAAACTTTTTAAAAGCTACATGAGGGCATTCATGTTAAGTCCTTATATTTATGACTGAAAAAAAAAAAACAGTTCTTGTCACTTTAAATTGTACAGAATTCAACATGACAAAAAGACAGAGTCGTCACATTTCAATAATTCATTTAATCTTCAGAGGGTTGCACTGACTTTGTCTTTGTTATACACCGCACATGGTAGCACACGAAAACACCTCAAGGTCGTGCAACATCTAGTCTGGCTTACCGCACAGCCTCTGCTGCACCGACACCGTTAAAACATTTTCAATCTGCAGATTTCCTCCACCGGCATTTTCACTGCAGCTCCAGTGATTGGAAGAGTTTCCATCCAAATCCCCGTTTTTGCATTTTGAAAACAAATTACACAAAATATAGAAAAAAATGACAATCTTTGAAAAGAAAATCCAAAAGACAGTCAATAAAATGATTCTTAAAAAACAAACAGACAACCAGTTGTTTTTTTTTTTTTTTACAAAATGGCTTTCATACCTCAACATCTTGGTCATCGTTTTCAGTACAGCATATTGTAATCAAACTGAAAAGCACTCAAAGATTGGCTCGACAGCGGCTGAACACCTCGGCTGTGTAAACGAGTCATTTGTAATCCATAAATAACACTGGACAGTTTCAATATGTTGACTTAAGATTTTCAGAATAATTACAGTTTTCAACATCTTTTACACTGCGGTCGGCGCGTGGACATCATCACATCATTTAAAACCACCAATGTAATAAACCTTGGTTTTTACATCTGTATTTATATACGCTTTATGATTGGTTAGATATTACATTTTACCAGCACACTTGTATCCATATACAATATCTTAAATAAAATATCTTTTCATCAAATCAATTTTAAAAAAATTCACTCAAAATTTCAACACACGTACATATGCAAATGTTTTTTTTTCCTATTAAGTTTGCGTCGTCGTAAAGTGCAAGGCAAAGATACAGTAAACTTTGAAATGTACGACACGCAACGACTTTCGCATCTGAAGCGTGTCAACAGCTTGCACACACACGCTTTCATACACACTCATACGGACGCACACGCACGCACACACACTTCGTTAAGTCTTAAACCCAAAGTACAGACTTGGCACAACAACCACTAAAGCCTCTAAGGTTTTGAGCGTGTAGCTGGCACACTATGGATACAGTAGCACAATCCTTACCACAGCTAAACATCTACAGTGCCTCACAGTGACGACTTCCCATCAAGCCTGATTCATCGAACAAGTAACCAAAAATTAATTAAAATTACCACTTTTTTGTTTGTTTTCGCCAGTAGCCTAGTAGAAATGCTAGTAGCATAGCTAATGTATGTGACTTTTAAGCTTGAAGCATATAAACTTTACAGTTTAAGTTAAATTTATGAATCCATAACTAACACTTAAGTCAATGTAAGCTAAATAAGAAGAAAAATGGAATGGCTAATTTTGTGCCTTGCTTTAAGCTAGCTTGTGAGTTAAGGAAGCCAATTCTATTTAGCCATTAAATTTCTCAGTACATTATCACATCTAAAATGTTCATGTTGTTACTCCTTTAACAACTATACATCTATATTTTTACTTATGGTTATGAAACAAAATAAATTCAACATATTGGTTTAAACTCCTTTTTAATGAGACACTGTAGAAAGTGCCGAATTAGAGATTTTTATGGCTATACGAAGCCTATCGTAAAGGCTAATTTATACTTCCCAGTTTATTTTACTTTCCACTCAATATCAGGGTCTATAAACATGATCTAGGGTCCGCTAGCGCACACTTGGGAAATTGATGTAAGTTAGCTGCTTTGAGTGGCGTGACTGTAAAGCAGCCAGATTCAGGCTAGCTGACAAATAACGTTAAATACTCGTTGTTTTCTTATTAGAAAAACAGCAACAAGGTATCATTTTTAGAACTTAAACAGCAAGTAAATTTAGAAGAACTTTATATTTTCTTTGTCATTTCTAAAGTGTCAAAAAAAATAAAACTCACATGAAAACGTTGTCACTTATAAATGGTAATCAGGAAATCTATGGTCAACCGAAGCTCAAAAAGTATTTACTTAGAATAAAAAATTGTTCAACAATGGTCCTTCTGTATGTTCTCAAAAACTAGTATGGCGTTCACACATATCGCTGGTCTCAACAAGCAAGCCAAACTGTGAGGCGATTTCCACTGTGAGGCGAAGAAAGGCTTGGCGTGCATGCAGGGACACAGGACGGCGTCTATATGTGTGATCAAACTTCTCAAAGGGGGAAGCAGCAAAGCCAGGACAGCTTCACAGATTACCATTTAGGAAAATAAGGTATACAAAAAAATAGATATATATTTGTCATAATAATAATAATAATAATAGCTTTTAACCACAGACAAGGCAAAAAAATCATATACATATTAGTTCTTATTCCTATATTTAGTATACAATCATGTAGTATGACAAAGTAAAAGCGAAATACTGAGAAGCTGCTGAGTCGTATCAAAGTGTCCTTGATGCTTCCTCCTCCTGTAAACGCCGTCACCAGACAATGGCAGAAAAGGATCGGCCTCACCGAGTCGTTTCGCCCGGCGCTGCTCCTCACAACGACTCTGTGTAAAACACGCACAGCAGGGGGAGAGTTCCCTCCCACGTAAGTCACATAATAAAACCCAACGACGTGCTTCTAAACCCGCCGTGTTCTCGACAAAATGACTCACGCTTTTCTCGTTTTTGTTTTTGCGGCGGAATCGCACGAGTCCACTGAAGAACCACTTTAAAAGGACGACAACAGAACCGCCGCGGAGCCGAATGGGACAGCATCTTAATTCACAGGTTATTAAAAGTCCACACAAGTACATTCCTTAGGATATTTTTGTTTTGTTTTTGTTTTTTTTGCAACATTGAAGATATTTTCCAGTTCAGCAGACGATAAAGCTGAGACATCTCAGTTTGTTCATTTTTCTTGATTTTGTTGCCGTTGGGAGTTCTCATGGCAGTAGCAACAAGAAATAAATATGCAGTCCAAAGGCTAGTCAGAAGTTCGACATATAAAGAAGAAAAAAACAAAACAAAAAAAATCTAGATTGTAACAACTTATGATAAAACCTGACATGCGAGGTGAGCACCACGTAAACGCATTTCCTTGTTTTACCACTACCTGCATGGTTTCTCTCTTTGACTTGCACTCAAAAATAAAAGCAAAATGGCGGCATTAAAGCAACGCCACGCAGAAACAGGCCCCACTTTTTAAAAAAAAGAAGAAATTGGAGGTGGGGAGAAAAAAAATACCTGCTGGTTTGCAAAAAACCAGATGACGAAGAAATAAAACAGAGCATAACGGTTACAAGTAGGGAAGAAGGTATTACTTCAGAGCGATACCTCTGGGAAGCCAAGGGGCCTCATGACTGGACAGGAAGCGGGCGAGAGGGGGTCGTACCCTCTCTTGTCGGAGGGGGGGTATTAAAGTGAGGCGCAGGTTTTCAGTTGACTGAGGAATCTGCCTCGGCTGCTCCGCTTTTAAGATCCCACGTTCCTGCAGGAAGCACAGAAAACGATGGCAATTACAGCACAGAAAAACATAACTTTAAATTCATTTTTTAAAA